ACAGGCATAACTGTATGGACGACTGTGAGCTAACTGCATTCCATTTTTTAAGTACCCTTGCATAAAATTTAACTTAAATTTAAACTATATAAATTTTCATGCATATTTTTTACGGACTTAAAGTTTACAAAATTTGCTATATGTTAGATTAAGCAGAATTTTTTCAATAGTAATTATTGTTGATTGCGCTGATCACTGTTTTTGTTGCAGACTAATTTGTGAAATTTCTAAATTCTGCTACCGAGCTCATCTTTAAAATACAAAAATGTTCTACAGCAGAAAATTTGCTCAGAGATCGATCTTAATATGGTATCAACCTGAGTGTTGCCATGAAAATCATACAACTTTAAAATTAAAAATAATATCCATGAAATATACAAAATTTTACTTACAGCTTTCCGCAGATGTTACGTAAGATCATTTCCATGTTTTTTTTTTAAATTTTGTGACGAAATATGAATTGAAAGTGAAATTTTGTAAGTGGGAATCTGAATGGATGCTGAAAAAAATTTTGAAAGAGTGAAAAGAATCTTACATTGTTCAATTCTTTACCAATATCTTTCATTGTTTAACTTCATAGTGAAGTTCTTAGCGGGAGTATTTTTGGATTGTTGCTAAAAACGAACAATGCTCCAACAATACCCCGCTTTTTTATTTTAAAGTTCAACAGACCATCGCAAATAGTACAAGAATAAAAAATTATTTAAATAGATTTCATCCTATATAATACTTAGTTTTTATACCAAGCATTTCTTCACAGTCTTGTAATTTTATGAATATTTAATGCAAGCGTGCACTGACAGTGAAACAAGTCACCCATAAGGGTGCCTTTTTACTGACAGTATAGGCAGAAATGTAGAGATCGCCGTTGAAATTCCTTGCATAGAAGGCTTCCAAAAGAATAGAAAATTAAAAATATAACGAACAAATAAAAAATAAAAACGGCATTCGGGAGACATTTTATTTGATAAAAATATACATAAATAGATAAATTTCATTATGTATACATGCAGAAATTATTCCATGATAAAATATTTACGTCTACCAAGAAAATAAATTTGATTTTTCTTTTATGGGGAAAAAAAATGAAATTTTAAAGATCTGAAATTTTTAAATTTGTTTCAAAATCATATTGTTTTGTTTAAAAAATAATTTTCTTAAAGATTAACCTAAAAAGAATTTTAACTTTATGTTATAAATAATACTAGTAATTGGTGAAAAGTTTTACTATCATTATTGGCTTATGAGAAGCTGGATGCCTGGAGTATTACACGCCATACTGCAACTTACACGCCACTGCCTACAATTTCTAAGTTATTGTTCGGCTTCTCCTTCTGTAAAGTCCCATGGAAAAATCCCGAATGAATATTACATTGAATATGTATAACAGTTAATTGTAACCGTGACTGAATATACAAATTTTGTCCTAAAACAATCTTTTTTTTGAGGAAAAGTTCGAAGGTTGGTTACTTTTATAATATTTTAAAGTTCCACATTTGTTTTCTAATGTTTTGAGAGCTCTATTAAATTGAAATAATTATTTTTTTAGAAAATTATTAGCAGTCAGCAGAAGTCAAAGTTGTTGCTGGAGTTAAAGTGCTAATTTATCACGCAAGCTTCAGTGAGCTGCTCCAGGTTCGAATCCCAGCGGTTTGCGCGAATTATGCTCCCTGCTCACACCAGCCACAGTGCTGGCGTGAAATATCCTCAGTGGTAGAATCCTCTTGCCATGAGCCTAACCATGGGAGTTTTTGTGGTTTTCCTCACCATGTAACGCAAATGCGGGTTACCTCCATATCAAAAAGTCCTCCTCGAAGGCAGCATTTCTCCCAATACTTGATCCAGGAATTCCCTTGTCTTCTTCAAAATTAAAAAGTCTGCGGAGTTGAACATTAGTGGTCGTAAGCTCCAAAATTGGGTCGACTGTTCAACGATGCTTATAAAATAAATTTCCGTGGTATAACACATGGGTTAGCCCGACGGCCATCCATGGTTTTCTTCTCTATGCAACGCAAATGCGGGTTAGTTCTATCAAAAAACGAGTTGTCTTAATGCTTGATACAAATCTTCCTTCATAGTTGAATTCAAATTAATGAATCAATGCGTCAATGAATACTACCATATGTTGATTAGATAATTTAGACAGCTGGATTCTAAATATGTAATCACACCCTGTTCAGACCACGTCTATTTTTTTATCTTGAATTCCCGTATAGACGTTAAATATTTATAAACAGCGGATAATAATTTTTCATCCCTAAATCCTGATCATTGAGGATATTTTTTATCTTTTTATTATTATTATTATTGGAATTATTTTAAAAATTTAGTACATTTTTTGAAACTTTTGTGCAGATTTTTTAACTAAAGGAATTTTTTTTTTCGTATTTAAGTATGTTCCTATTTAAAAATTTAATAATTTTTCGTGTACAGCTCGCAAAAAAAATAATTAAATAAATAAACGGACTACCATAAATAACTTTTGACCTAAAGAACGGATCTTCACGTTCTAGGATTTAATCTTAATAGTTCGAGAGGGTAACCTCAAATATGCTCTATAATTAGTGCAAACGATACTTTTAGAAAATGCGTATTTTATCTGAATAAATTACTTTTTTTCGACGGATTCAAATTTTTATCCCTCAAAATAGGGGGGTTGCCGCAATCTGGGAAATAGGGTCTCTATAGTTTGGTTAGGAGAGTTGCTCAAATTTCGAACCCCTTAATGTTAATTTCAGTTTTTGTATTTTTTACCGTATTTTGAGAACTTTTTAAGCGAATTGAAAAATGATTGCAAACAATTATAAAACTCGTTTTTATAAAGATGATTCCATGCAAAATATATTTTGTAATGAATATTTATTATTTTTACATAATAATTGATGGGGCCCGGGGCAAAAACTTCTTTGGGATCCCTTCTCTGTTTCACTACTTCAGTAACGCAGAACCGAACTTTATGGAGGTTTTAAATCCCCCCCCCATTGTAGATAACAAAAGTGATTAGAACTTATAAAAGCTATGAAGTCTCCCTTTCCGATGGCCAGATGAAATATCGTTCTGTCCATTTTATTGATTTTCTGACAATTCTGCTTCCATCATGCTGAATGCAGTATTCTGATTGTTAACTTTCTCATCTAGCTGTGAAAAATTCACATTCTTGCTGACATAAAGGCAGAATTCAGCTCAATTTCTGATTGGCTCAATGAAGCCAATCAGAAACCTGTATTTTTGTAAACATATCGATTTTGCGATACTTAAAAATACAGGTTTTTGATTGGCCAAATTTGCCCATCGTACTTGCAAAAATTTAGCTGAATTTCGCCCAAGGAAGCCCCGCATTTATGAAACATAGAACGTGCTCATACTATAGATTAATAAAGGATATAACATAAAACAGATGGATTTCACACTCTACTGATATTTTGCTTAAAAAAAGTTCATTAAAGAAGGAAACTTAAAATAAACTTTCGATGCGATTTGGGGACCCCCTTTGTTGTGGGGGGCCGGGGCAACTGCACTGTATGATCCTGGCTTAGTTAGGCTCTGATTTTAGAAAGAACATTGGAAATAAGATGGCGTAAGCTTAAGGAAAATTAGAAACTTTCGTAGTCGGTAATGACTCCAATAATAAATTTCGTAATAATTCAAAAATCATATTAAATTAANGATGGCCAGATGAAATATCGTTCTGTCCATTTTATTGATTTTCTGACAATTCTGCTTCCATCATGCTGAATGCAGTATTCTGATTGTTAACTTTCTCATCTAGCTGTGAAAAATTCACATTCTTGCTGACATAAAGGCAGAATTCAGCTCAATTTCTGATTGGCTCAATGAAGCCAATCAGAAACCTGTATTTTTGTAAACATATCGATTTTGCGATACTTAAAAATACAGGTTTTTGATTGGCCAAATTTGCCCATCGTACTTGCAAAAATTTAGCTGAATTTCGCCCAAGGAAGCCCCGCATTTATGAAACATAGAACGTGCTCATACTATAGATTAATAAAGGATATAACATAAAACAGATGGATTTCACACTCTACTGATATTTTGCTTAAAAAAAGTTCATTAAAGAAGGAAACTTAAAATAAACTTTCGATGCGATTTGGGGACCCCCTTTGTTGTGGGGGCCCGGGGCAACTGCACTGTATGATCCTGGCTTAGTTAGGCTCTGATTTTAGTAAGAACATTGGAAATAAGATGGCGTAAGCTTAAGGAAAATTAGAGACTTTCGTAGTCGGTAATGACTCCAATAATAAATTTCGTAATAATTCAAAAATCATATTAAATTAATATTTCTATACTTAATTATAAATACATTATGATGCTGCAACAAACTCCTGAATGACATGACAATGGAAACAGCTGTGTCCTCAACAGTTACATAAATTCTTGGTTGTTTGTCGTATCCACGGACAATCTACTAGAGGTTGCCGTGAGCACCCTCAGCCATCTGTCCACATAGAAGTTCTCTTCAGAACAATCATTTCATGGGAACACTAAATAAAGATCTGGAAGAAAAAAATTGAACCTTGAGCCGTGGTGGAACAAGTGATAGAGCATCCGCCTTCCAATAAGATGAACCGTGTTCAAATCCCAGCGATGACTGGTTGATTCAAATTCCGCATCCGGCTTGTGCTGACCACAGTGCCCACTGAAAATATTCTCACGGGTAGACGGATCATGGGTTTCACTAGCCGTCAGACCAACCATGGGAGATTTTCGTGGTTTTCCTAGTTTCATAAAAAAAAGTCTTCCATAAAAGGAAATCTTTCCCATTACATGAGTTCCCTTGTCTTCTGGATTGGGTTCACAATGACAAAGCTACAAAGTTGAACATTAGTAGTCGTAAGTCGAAAAAGTTGGATCAACGACGGTAGTAAAAAAAAATGAACCCATTACAAAAGTAAGCCAATCTTTGTTGAAGAGTATTTTTTTAAAGATTAGAACGATTCGCATTATTTCTTGACTGAATTACACCAATTCTTTCCCCTTAGGAATTACCATCAACAGCTACTAAAGGTAAAGTGGAAGGTTTGAAAGAAGGTGTCCAGTATGAATTCCGCATCAGAGCTGTGAACAAAGCTGGACCAGGTGAACCCAGTGACCCAACGAAACCCATCATTGTAAAAGCCCGATTCGGTATGTACTCAACACTCCACTTTACACACAAGAAAGTTCAAACAGTAACGATTGAACAATTAACGATTTGGAACTGAATTTGCTATTTCTGAAGCACAAATGGGGTTGACAGAGGCTGTAGCGTTCTAATAAAGAAATACGATATTGCCTCGTTTATTTTCGAAGCAAACAAAACCTTTTAGTGACTAAGATGTCCTTTTCATTATTAGTTCTCAGACAGCCGAAAATATTATTTTTAAACTTAAATATCTTGTTGAATTTAAACGCAAATTGGTTATTAGTTTTCATAAAATGCTGAGGCCACTTCATTAAAGTACAAATGCAAGATTGAGAAAGGAGAGCTTTTAATTACGTTTTAAAATAGAGAACTAAAAATTATTTCTAACAATCCTATTATAAATATGAATCTGAAACTAAATTCTGCTTCTATTTAGAAGAAAGAAAGTTTGATTTTAATATCTGTGAATAAATACAAGAAAAAAATACTGTTCTTAAAATATTTTTTTTTCTCTCTGATTTTGAGAGTTCGACGTGAACACATTAAATATTTTTAAAATATTCGTGTATCAATTTAGCATCCTTTTCAGTTGTAATGCATATTCGTAAATTCAAAATTGGGTCAGCTGTTCAACGACGGGTATAAAGTAAAATAAACTTTTAAAAAAGCTATTTTCAAAGAGCCTCCTTTATTCTGGTCTTAATTCAAGCAGCCTGAATAAGTCGGCCTATTTGGGAATTGTATACCTTATTTTTTTAGCAGCCAAAAATTATTACAGTAATAAGCTTTACAGTAATAAGCCTTACAGTAATAAGCCTTTCTGGATTATTTGATAGACTTTTTTAATTAGCCTAGAATTTTAAAATGCTGTTTGAGAGGATCTGGAAAATGTGTTGCATTTCTCTTATTGTATTTGAATTAACTACTAGTATAAATATTCATTTATTAAAATGTCTCCTTGTTCTTTTAGTGAAACCGTTTATCATTACTGAGATGATAAATGTGGTTGTAAAGAAGGGGCAGACGATTAAATATGACATCAACATCGGGGGAGAACCACCGCCCGATATCAAATGGGATATCAATGGAACAGAAATAAGTGGATCAAAAAGGTAGCTATAACAGATCTTCGATTGTGTACTAGCAAACTTATTAAGTCGTTTGACTAAAAAAATTTATTTCGTATTCATATATCATATGTTCGCTCTCTTGACAATAAAATGAAAATAACGCTCCTACATTTATGTAAATTTCCACTATACATTTTGCAGCTAATTTCTAATAATTTTAAATAAAAATATTATTCAAAGTGAATCAATATTAAAAAAAATATAAAGAAGCAAAATTTAAAACTGAAATGGTTTTACTACCAACTTTTCCGTTTTGCCTTCACCCATGAGTACCATACATTGCCGACCTCTTCTTTAGTGAAAAGTAATTTAAAATAATTTTTAAAAAAAACTGTGATAGCCGAGGTTAGCCATTGGTAAAATGGGTGTTGTGTACGTGCTTTGGCTTTAGCTTTTTCAGCCTCAGTAAGTTTAGGCCTTGGCATAATTTTTTTTTTCGTTGCTTCAACTCTATATAGCCTTTGAGACCGTGTCAATCAGTTTGGGGCCCTCTTTATGTGTGATATTCACCTGAATTAATATTGAAAACCATCCTGTTTTAACTGTAGGTTAGAATTTCTGATTCTTAATTAAAACAATAAAAACAAAAAAAAAATATCGTTCATATTATAAATTCCCTTTTATTCACAACTCAAGAAGTATTTATTTGATTTCTCTGGTCCTATATCTCAAAAATAAACTCTCCAACTTAATGCATCACAATATTAAAAGTGAAGAAAAAGAAGAATTCTAAAAAAATTATCAAACAGCAACGGTCACCATAACAAGACATGCAATGATAGCGCATGTGCATCGTTTACTATTACTCTTGAACGCAATTGAGAAGTACGATGACGTCCAAATAAGATGCGCACCCCATCAAACCCAAAACAACGCCCATTTTGCCAATGGATAATAAAAAATGCCGTTTATGTCTACTATAAAATTCAACACTAAACTTTTATTTTAAAATTTTTATATCGACTGTAAAAGTTTGGCTCTTAAATGTGTTTTGTAACTAATGTATGGAACTTGTGCTTATATGCAATATACCAGATGTCTAAAAAAAATCAAAAATTTGTAAAATCATTAAAAGAAAACATAATTTGAATCAAAGTTAAAAATTAGTTAAAATTTTGACCAATAGATAGTGCTGGTGATTATAAGAAACTATAAACAATGATTGTTGTTTCTGTAAATGATTATGAAAATATTGTTTTATAGTTTTCCGCGGTTAGCAGCACCATCCCAGATAGCGAAGTAAGGTTTATTTTCACTCAGCAAAAACCTTTTAATGCAAACCTAAAAATGCTTGTTATGCGGTTTACGTGTAAACCTTCTAACCTTAAAACGAGATTTGTGACAATCTGCTCTATTCTACGCACAGTACCCTTAATCCAAAACCTTGGAAAATAAACTACTGTATAAAAAGCTTAAATCGAGGTTGACTTAGGGTTTTTTAGCGTGAAAAAAATTCTTTAATAAAGTTAGTCTCAAGGTGAAATTAATCTTAAATCTAGGTAATCATAAGGTTTGTTAACGCAATGTCTTGTACTACTGAAATCTTGTCTACTGAAATCTACCTTGTCATGAAGTTTTAATGGACAGTTCAATTTGTTCCTATTACCAGTGTGACGTCAGCTTAAAATCTTCATTATGGACCTAAGGGACCATTTTACTTCAGTGACAATACTCTTTAAAAAAGCTTTAAAAAATAATTTGTAATCCTTTTAGGCTGAAAGGTTTGAAACTGCAATATTTCTGTTTTATTGAAAAAAGGTTGTTAGCAGAAACATTTTCGTGAAAATACGAAAAAATTTCCAACGCAAGGTTGTCGTTAAGTTACATGCTTTCTGGGATACATTTAGATCTTTTTCTTTTATTGGATAAAGTTTGAGATGATAGCTTTTTTTTTTCTTTTCCAAAATGTAAATCAGAAATTCTGTTTTGTAGGATATCCATTGATAAATCTGCCAAAAATACCATTCTCACGATTAAAGATGCCGAAAGAGCTGATTGTGGAAAAGTAACCCTAACCTTAACTAACCAAATAGGTTCTTGTTCTGCAAAAGCTGACATTGTCGTTCTGGGTAAGTTATTTATTTAAATAAAAAGAAAGAAAGTGCTTGAAAAAAAGAGATGCATTATAAAATGTAAACTTCGTTGTGTTTTGGATGTTTTACGTTCAGTAAAGCATATTTTCAAAAATTTTTCAATTGCTGTTAATTTTTCTTTCGTTTTGATTTGTTGCAATACTGTACAGTCAGATTTGGCGAAAATTTAACCAAACCCAGATATTAAAAATAAAAAAACGGGACCCTTTGGGATTCGTTTACGTAGGTCTAGGGTAGCATTCCACGAAATCGTGTATAAAATTCCAGGCATATGACGTCATGTATAAAATTCGTGTATATGCATAAAATTCCTTGCAAAATTCAATTCTAAACACACTATCCATAACAAGTTTTGTAGTTTTTTAAAATTTTTTTAAGTAAGTAAGTTAGATTTTTTTAAGTTTTTAAGTAAGAATAAGTTGTGAAATAAGCCTAATCATGTATTAGTTAAAATACTATTCTTATACGATTTTAACTTGTATCTGTTCTCATTTGTAGTGACTTTTTGGTTACCTGCATTATGTAACTAAACATCTGTAGTTCCTACAAATGTAAGGCCGAAAACTCCATAAATGCACTTAAAATTTAGCAGGGAAGAAAATACCTTATTTGGACATTTGCAGAATTCTTCAATCACGATAATCCAGGATTGAAACTTAACATCTGTGCACCTGGAAAGTCTTGAAAAATCGTGGATTTCGGTATCGAGCAAAAGTTGTCATGAAATGTCATAATTTTAACTACTTTTTTAAAACAATCATGGAAATTTATGGGTTTAGGTCGTCGAAAAATCTAATTTTTAAAATGGAATTTACCTCCCCGTCCCAATTTCACAGTGTTCCGTTGTTTAAAATATCTAAATTTGTAGCAAAATCCCCACTCATTCATATTATATTTCAATATAAGATGTTCTTATCCTGTTCTTTAAAAATTATGGTGTTCTTTCAAAAAATGAAAGAAAGAACATCATTTCTAAAGCGAATTATCTTTGAAACTTCTGTGATTTCAGAAGTTTTTTATTTATTTATTATTCCTTTTTTTTATTTTATCAAATTAAAATTCTAGTTTAGGCTTTTTACATGACACTTACTTTAAAGAAGAAATAAAACAGCTTTAAATAACTACATATATGTGACAGTATTTAGTTAGTTGCCTTTGTATTTTTTTCAGCTATTTTATTGCTTCAACTCCTTCTTTACTCTGTTTTTTTAATTTAAAATCTATAAATATGAAGATGCAGAGTATAGCAGTTTTGGTTATACCGATCATTTCAATTAATGTTATTATAATGCTTTCGTAAATTTACTGTTGGGTTTTTGTCGGGAGAAAATAGTAACTTCGTTAAGTCATGCAAAATTCTTGGAATGAGTCATGAAAAGTCATGAATTTGAAAGTCTAAAATTGTGCAGATACCCTGAAGCCAGTAAAATGGATAATTTGTTGGAAAAAAGATTACAATAACTTAATAAATATAAATTTTTAGATGTTTTAAAAATTAAAAAAAAATTAAAAAACGTACTTTGTAATGCATTCCTTTTCAGACAAACCTATGAGGCCAGCGGGTCCATTGCAGATTGAGGAGGTCAGAGCTGAAAAAGCTGTCATCAAATGGGATGCACCGAAGGACACGGGTGGCAGCGAGATCGAAGGCTACCTCATTGAGAAGCAAGATACAGAGACTGGACGATGGGTGCCAGCTGGAGAAGTCGGTCCCCACGATCGAAAGTTCACTGTCGAACCTCTCACTCCCAAAAAGAAGTACAATTTCAGGGTGAAGGCAAAGAACAAGGAGGGAGAAGGCGAACCTCTCACATCAGATAAACCCACTCTGGCCAAGAATCCATACGGTAAATATAATAGCTCTTTATGAACTCTGGTATAGTTCGATCACCAGGAGTTGACACTTTGCTCCGCCTTTCTCTAAAGTGCTGTGTTAAGTTTTTCGCAACTTTATCGAGCGCGCAAATTATGAAAATATCACAAAACGACAATAAAGGGAAAACCCGCTTGTTTAGGAAATTGAAAAACGTTTGTGCGCTAATTTTTTAATATTTTAAAAATTATTCCAATGCTACGTTTTCTCGGGTCATGTAAACTTTCAAAATGTGTTAAATTAGTAATTGATTTTAGTGATTTTCCTCTAGATGGATATCACGTCAAATAACGTCAGTTTTAATAATTTTTTAAATATATATTTAAGCTACTTCTCCATACTAAATACAATGTAATTTTGTACATCAAGGTGATTTTTAAAATATATCTTTAATTCGAGTTAGTTGAGCTGCGGCCTTTTTTATTTTGATTCGCTAAAAAACTTTCTTAACACTATAATTGGCCAAGGAAGTTATTTTGACTGCTTATTAATTTCAATTAGAAAACCAATGATGTATGTAATGACACAAATTCTTAGAATTTTTTACAACATATATTTTTTCTATTGTTAATATTTACTAATAACTTGTTACATAACTGTAAATAATATAAAAATTAGTTTTAAGCAAATTTCTTTACACATTAGTTATAATGCGTAATATAGGTATATACCAAGTTTCTTTCTAGTTTTAATATTTTCTTGAATCCTTATAAAACATCATTAATATTACTTTCTTGTTTAAAGTAACACGATTCTTGCAGATGAACCAGCCAAGCCAGGCAGACCGGAAATAGCCGACTACGATAACACGATGGTCGATCTGAAGTGGTCAGCCCCATCGAGTGATGGGGGTGCTCCCATCACCGGTTACGTCATCGAGATGAAAGACAAACTGAGCAACGATTGGAAGGAAGTGTTGAAGACAGAGGGTGACAAATGCCAGGGAAAAGTCACCAATCTTCAAGAGAATGCGAACGTCCAGTTCAGAGTGAAGGCTGTCAACAAGGCCGGACCTTCAGAGCCCAGTTCAGAAACTCCGCTACATATTGTCAAACACAGAAACCGTGAGTAAAAATAAATATTTTTGAAAATTGTTTTTATCCCGAGCATTTGATAAAGCATTGTAGATCTCTGAGTCTCTAAAAGATTGGATTGGTTGGTAATATACGAGGGTTGTCCCTAAAATAAGGTTCCAACGAATTTTCACAATGAAAAACATGTTTATTGGCATTGAATAATACATGTTTGGAAAGCTTAGACTTCCCTCTTTTTTTCGGCATAATCGCCGTTTAGATCAATGCATTTTTACATGCGGTGTACCATCTTCTTTATGCCTGAGTCGTAGAACTCTGCCGCCGCTCCGCGAAGATAGCTTAAAACAGACAGAATTTGCTTAAACTTCTTCGGCTTTGGCGAGCATGGATGCTTCCACTAACGGGATTGTTCTTTTGTTTCCGGTGTCATGTAGTGGACCCAGGTCTCGTCCCCAGTGACAACAGAGTCCAAAAATTCCTTGCCATCGGTTTCGTAGGCATGAAGAAATTCGCAGGCGGCTTCCACACGTTGCCGTTTGTTGTCATAGTCATCCGTCCGCATTTTCGGGACCCACCTTGCCCAAACCTTGGCATATCCTAAGCGGTCTCTCAGAATGTTGTGAATGCAGGACTTACTGACAACAGGGATCATCTCGCTGAGGTCCCGAACCTTCACCCTTCGATCTTTCAGCATTGCTTCTTCCACTTTCGCAATCGCTTTGTCCGAAAACGATGGCCGACCAGAATGTTGTTCGTCATGGACGTCTGTAAGTCCGTCTTTGAATTCTCTGCACCATTTGCGCACAGTTTGCACACTCATACACTCTTCCCCTCACAGAGTTGGGAATGAATGTCCACCGGAGGAACGTTTTTTGCACTCAAAAACAAATCACAGAGCGTAATTCGCACCTGGCGTGAGAAACAAATGGAAGCTTTATCTTTCACGGCTACCAAGACACGAATTAACGTTGTAGATACCTCGCCGGGGCGGGAACTGGGGCAAAGGGAGCTAAGTTACACGCCAGTCTCAACAAATCCCGCTTAACAGCGTTCCTAGCATCCGCAGCTCCTTGGGAACCTTATTTTATGGACAACCCTCGTATTTATTTCAACTTTTTATTCAAGTAATATTCCACCTATGTAGTCCCTGGGCAAACTATTAGACGTACAATAAGACTCTAGGTAAATCTTGATTATCAGGTGATACATCATTCTTTTTACGCGGCTGAAACCGGTTTGCACTTGTTTACGTTCATGCGTCGATGGGTTAACAGTGTAATACAATACGTTGAAAATAAATACAAATAGGGAACTATATAAAAAATTTCCTGAATAAAAACCCATTACATGTATGTCTAAATATAAAAGTGTTGCCTATAAACTCGTGCAAATCATGTCATTATTAAAAGTGAGTCTAATAATCTGGTCTAATGATTATAATACACTAATACATATAATGCCTGATATAATAAATATTCCATATTTACATAACATATTACCTGATTTATCCAATCACCGAATTTATATTGTATATCGTCTTATGTAATCAATTGATACAAGAAAGTAAGCAAGTGCAAACTGGTTTTAGTCTCGTAAAAACAATAAAGCTGTATAGTATATTAAGATTTTACATAGAATCGAATAATTTGGACAGGGAATGTATAATCGGATGTACCTCGAAAAGCTTACATTTGTTGACGATTTACTAATTTTACTAGGATTTTACTTTGACGGTAACGCGGATATGTAACCCCGTGTAATTTTCAACTTTTAGGTCATTATATTGTTGTGTCACAACAACCAGAAATAAGACGTGAGTTGTACCAAACAATTTATTTAAACATTCACACGAACAATCACAAAATATTACCCAAAGAAATATCTCTTCTTAGAAAAAAACTCTCTTTTCAACTACACAAAAAAAGAACATCACTTCTCGTGTGTGTCTCTCAAGCAACATCATTTTAGCATTAACTCTCGAGGAATTGATGCTTTTAGCTCAGTTGTCACACACTGTTACGTTACAATATCTTGAAAAGTGTGTGTAAAATCCGTTCTTTTCATCTACTTATTAAGATAATAATACAAAAACATAACTTCATGTCTTGAATTTTTATTTCGAAAAGTTATCTTTTAACTTAAAGTAATATTGTGGATATGGATATAATCTCGTGCTATAAATTTTTAATTTTAGCTATAAGATCGTTGCGTGTCAAAAAATTTGGTTTTGGGGATAATTTGTTTACTTTAGCTTCTATTATAATAATATATTTGATATATTATCTCATTAAAATGTTTAACTTCTTGCAATAAAAATCCTAATTTTTATAACTAAACTTTGTTATTGAAATAAACAACTGAAGCTAATATTTCTCTCTTTTTTGCAGTGAAACCGTACATTGATCGAACGAATTTGAATAATGTGGTTCTGAAAGTGGGAAGGTCCCACAAGTTTGAAGTGGACATCCGTGGTGAACCGCCTCCCAAAGTGACGTGGACATTTGGTGATGATATCAAGCTAACTAATAACGACAACATCAAAATAGATAACAGAGACTATCATTCTGATCTTTATCTTAATAAACTAACAAGAAAACAGTCGGGGAAATATGTTATCACCGCTACTAACGCTTCTGGGAAAGACAGCGTAACAGTAGATGTCACAGTATTAGGTAAGTCATTTAGGGGATTCTCGCCAAGAAACTGCCAAAATATGCCAAATCTATCTGAAACTGAAATATGCCGAAGTTTCATAAAAGGTTAAAGTCAACTGAAAATGTTAATTTTTTTTAATAATAAAGGGCTTCCTGCTTGCTTTACCAATAGATCACCAATAGCTTTTCAATAGATTGATGTATAAAAACAAAAAAATATATATTCAAATCAATGATCCCAAAATGCTTTATCGTATTACAACAAAATTCGAATGTGCAATAATTAACAAGTAGCAAGAGAGAGCTAAGATTGAGTTTTCCTTGCGTTGAAAAAAAATTACTTTTTCGTTTAAAGTAAAGTGATAGCCTGTAAGTTAGTCTATCAAGGCGTTATTGTTCCATTTTTTTTTTTGTTCTTTTCTTTGTATTTGGCAATCAATACAGATATTGTTTCTTATTTATTTTTATGGAGTTCTCCTCAATCGATGCATCAATGAAGTGTTTAATATTGATAAATTATTTTCATCAGTTTGTTCTGTTGAAGTTGCTAGAGAGATTGTAAATTCAGGAAAAGAAATTTTAAGTTATGCTTTTTGTTGCTCACCAAGAAATTAATGAATGAAATTTTCAAATCCAAAATTTTCACACTGAACATTATAAATTTTGCGAGAATTATTTGTGGTAACTATTAACTCTGGTTATTAGTGAACGAGCAAAATGGGTTTATAGTAAAGTCTGCGAGTGAAGGTACTTAAATCTGATTACTATCTGGCAATTTAGTTAAAATGCATAAATTAATGGAATTATTATTTAATCTTTAAATTCCATTTAAAAGTAATTCATTTATGATCTTTACGACTAATTTTTAAGACTCCATTTAAAATTTATAAATTGTTAAAGTTTCTTAATAAGGATTTTGATATATTTCTGATACTTAGAATTTGATCTAATTTTTGATTTTAGAACTGGATGGAACATGAAGTAATTATATCAGAAAATTGATTTTCTAAACCAATAACTATTAAAAAAAATTTAATCTAGTACTCATTTTAAAAAAATTTCAAAATTAAAAAAATATAAAATACTTTTCCTAACTTTCATCTAATGTTAAACATAAAATTATTGCAAAAATTTTACGAAATTTTGAAAGTTAAATTTAATTTTATTAATGTTTAATGATTTAAATTAAAAATTTTCTCATGAAACGAGTAAAGGTAATTATTTTTTACAACATTCTCATGTGTATAACAATGTATTATTTGACAGTAATTACTGGGTATGTAACACTTGAATACAATACAGTTATAGATCTGTAAATATTTGCTTACAAGGCATTTCTTACCTTTTAATTATAAAGCATTTACGTAAGTTTAACATTCCATTACATATCTGTAATGTTTGATCCAAAATTGTCAACCATTGTCAATTAGAGATACATACCATTACAAAAACATTGAGTCAATATAAAATCTAAACAATGTGATTTTTGATAGGCACACCTACCAAACCAGAAGGACCACTAAAAGTGTCGGATGTTCACAAAGAAGGCTGCAAGTTGAAATGGAGCAAGCCCAAAGACGATGGCGGGTTGCCCATTAAGCAGTATGAAATAGAGAAACTGGACAAAGACACCGGTCGATGGACAAGATGTGGAAAGACTGACCAGCCGGAGTTCGACGTGACGGGACTGACGCCAGGTAAAGAGTATCTCTTCCGCGTGGTTGCAGTGAACGATGAAGGCGAGTCTGAACCGCTGGAGACTCTGGAACCAATTGTTGCTAAGAACCCCTACGGTATGAAGCAGCATGTGTTTGAAGCATGTAACGCTTGTTTTTAATGCGTTGACAACAAATAATGCTTTTCATTTTCAATTTCTCAGATGAGCCGGGTAAGCCTGGCACTCCACAAATCGTCGATTACGACAACATCAAAGTGGACTTGAAGTGGGACAAGCCCAAGTCCGATGGCGGTGCACCCATCACCAAATACATCATTGAGAAGAAACTGAAGACCAGTCCGGACTGGGAGAAGGCACTCGAGGTGCCGGGAGACAAATTGCAGACAGATGTGGCCGATTTGAAAGAAAGACAGGAATACCAGTTCAGGGTCATAGCTGTCAACAAAGCCGGTCCTAGTGAACCTAGTGACGCCACAAAGATGCACCTTGTGAAGCACCGAAGACGTAAGTTCATTTTAAAAATCCTTTCTAATATAAAACTTATCTATTACGATCATCAGCCTAGTGATTTTACTTAGTAAGGTAACCTCATTAACTCGAAGCACCGAAGACGTAAGACTATTTTAAATTCCCTTTCTAATATAAAACTTATCGATTACGAACATCATTAGCCTAGTGATTTTACTTAGTAAGGTAAGCCCATTATTTTTGTCAGGAAGCGTTTAGTTAAGTTGGTAATTTATTTTCTGTACGCTTCGAGAATCATTGCCTCCTTTTAAAAATGTTGAATTTGGTTTCATCTCTGTCTTAATACTGTTACTCACTGTATGATGCAGAGTTTCTTAAACGGTGGAACTTGACCCTTAAGTCCGGTTGTATGACCTGCAGCAGAGGTTGACAAAAAGTCTCGCAATTTGTTTTACAAAAAATTATTATGACATTTTTACAATATGATTCGGAGTTAAAAATGGACGCCGAATAACCCCGAATCATAAAAAGTAATTTACAAAGATTTAATGACATAACTAAAAATAAAGACACAAATTGATCATCGGCAGCGAATAAAACTATCGAAACCAGTTTATTTAAGAAACTGAAGTTTATTCACGAAGTTGGACGGTTTTTCATGTCACGGAACTTTCTTTGCTTCGATTGAATTAGATATAGTCCAAAGAGCTGTTGTTTTTGTCATCTTTATATTAACTCTTAATGTATTACATGTAAATTAATGCTTAAACATATCATAAAAATATATTGAAAGCAAAAATATTTTTCTTGTGTAGTGAAGCCATACATAGATCGCAGCAACCTGGATACCATAACAGTGAAGAAAGGAAAGGTAATAAAACTGGAAGTGAATGTGAGAGGAGAACCTCCCCCCACCATTACCTGGAAACTGAAGGATAAGGTAAGAATATTATTAGCAACAACAGTACTTATTTTAATTGTTAATGTAGTTCATTTACGTCACACTAGAGCTTGCACAATAGGCTACTAACGGCGATCCCTGAGGATGATTCGAAGACATACCATCACAATTTTAATCCTCTTCTGAGGTGATAGCGCTCCTGCTTTCGATAGCCCAACGACCTTCTTGAGTTGAGCACTTTACGCTAGAACAGCAGTTTAATGTGGACCTATACCGCACACCCTCGGTTCTAACGCAGACTGCTCCAAGTGGTCATCCACCCGCACACTGACCTGACAAGAGCCAGTGACTTCGGTAATCTGCTGGGAAACTTGTCTTAACGATCAGTACACTGCGGGACGTATTTATTTTAAATAGTGCAAAACCAGTGTATTCTGATTATCTCTACAGCGGCAAAACTGAATGCAAGTCAATGATTTTAATGGTGACTAAGCATTGCTTTCAATAGTGGCTGAACTCCAAGGTTTTAGGATGACGTATTTTAATGCCTTCAATAATATGAGAGGATAAATATGAATAAAAAACGGAAATGAACAATCTTCGAGTTCAGTTTCCAAAAGCTTCCAACATCTTTTGGCAATAAAAAATGGATGACAAACCTTATGAAAATTCTCTAGATGGGGAATATTTTAAACGACTAAAATTGTGAGCGCCAAGGCTTAAACGATGTCGGAAATTTATGAATGTTGTTAATTGTAAGATTATACATAAGAAATAAAGGCGTTCGTATTTATTTATGTATTACTTTTTTAATAACGGCAGAGACTGAACATTTGTTCTTTATGTTGGAAGATGCCGAAAGTGATAGTCATTTATCGTTGCCCGGTGGACACCTGTGAACTAAGATCACGGAGGCGAGCAACATTACCCACGCTACATTGCCACAGATACCCTTTCACAGGGTTCGAATCCACAGCCATTGGCATCACAATCAGGCGCGCAATCCACTCGGCCACCCGGGAGGCCGTTTATAATTATGATAAACCTTTACACACTACATTAGCGCAATATTTATAATTTCTTACACGAGAGAGAGAGAAAGAGAGTATAAATTTTAAAGCTAGGTTATTCGAATTCAATAAAAGGTCAATTTGAATATTTATCCCTCTAGTACTTCTAATTAGATTGCATGATCCATGCTCCCATTCTATTTACTTCCTACTGGACAAAAATTAGAATGAAAGTTAAATGTGGTAGACAACATCCTACATAACTGGCTTTTTAGCATATAATGCTGTTGTAATCAAATAAATGACGTGATTGCTGAATTAAACTTGGGATATTGTAGGGCGATTTAAGCTGTAAAGTTTGGGAAAAGTAAAATAAATATTTTGCTTCTTTTTATCACTGGAGAAAAATTGGACAACTGATCCAAAATGGGCCACGTCACATTCAATATTAGAAGTCAGATGAATCAAGATAATGACTTTCGCATAGTGTTCAATAGCCTCAACTGATCACAATGCTCATACAAAAACTGTTCTAGTAGTTGAAGATGTTGTTAGATATTTGTGGTGTTAGTAAAAATATTACGGGACTAGTTGGAGTTCCGAAGTTTTCCAATCAGTGCAACGCAAATAAATTTAATTATAGTAATTTTTTATGTTTTTACTTTACAAACCATCAGTTAACGACTTATTTTTCTTACTTTTAAACTGCCATATCGACTGATTCTTATATATGTTACTGTGAATGACCTAAATAAAGAGAATGTCGACTTTCACCGGTGAATGTCAACAGAGTAGCTTTGGTGAACGTTCGAAATATTTGTTATATTAATTTATACGTTGATATTATCATAGTTATTTGATATTTTAGTATCTGCTGAGAGAAACATTAATTTTCGGAGTACCGGTTTAATGGGCAGTGACACTTGACCTTAAAAAACATCGATGTAGGGCATACCGGGCAAATGTATATCGAGCAGTGGCACTTAACTAGACCTAGTATATATTTCGGACATTTACCAAAGCAACTATGTGATTGTCAACATTCACCAGTGGTATAGTCAACAACCAACAATTTCGGTCATTCACAGTAACGTTAAATAAAATTCTGCACAAGTTAGAAGTTTATTCATGTGTAATAAATTTTGTTTTATGCATGTTTGCCTATTCATTAACTGAATATTTTCTTCCACACAGGTTGTAAAAACTGCCGACAACATCGAAGTAACGGGTGAAGACTACAAGACCAGAATCACAATTAATGATGCACAAAGGAAGGATACTGGCCTTTACACAATACACGCTGAAAACGAAGTAGGAAAAGACGAGGCTCAAGTTGAATTTGTCGTTTTAGGTAACATATTCTATTGCATTACTTTATAAACTAGGGAGTGCTTTATTGCATTATGAAGAATTTCAAAAAATATAACGCAATATGTTTAAAGATTAATCAGAAGTAAATAGGTGAAACTTTTGATTAAAAAAACTTATTTTTCTACTATTTTTCTTTTGTTTCATATCTTTGAGAGTTACAAAAACGCTAGTAAAATATATTTATGCGTAGTTTAAATTTTCTATTTTTATTTAAAGTAACAATCTATTAACTATAGTTCGTTCACCAGGAGTTGGCACTTGGCTCTACCTCTTCTGACGCAGAGTTCATTTCAACGCGGGAATAAAGAGGAGAGATATCTCCGCTCTTGAAATTGAGACAACCCTTAATGCTCCCCAAACACAGTGAATTTTTTTTGGTCACGCTTTATCATCTGCTATTATACCTTTCGTTTCTCAAGCTTATTAAATATATATTTTAAATTGAAAAACTGCTGTTTATCCCAACAAAATGTCTCAAAGAGGAAAAACTATGAAATATCATCAAATTTATGAAATATTTAATGTTGAAAAAAATGCACGTAAAGATTGCAAAATAATTATTTTTGTCATACGATTGCCAAATAGCGACCCTTTTCAGGATGGTTCGCATCCTTCTCCCAAAAATAGCGAAATAGTATCGTTGGGCACCATGTGATGAAGGCGGAGCAAAGTGCCGACTCCTGGTGTACGATTTATATCTAATAATTAAACTAATTGTGCCTGCTCTCGACACTCATTCTTAAAAGATCGTTTACTCAGTTAATGCAGAACACAGTCATAAACGGTAGATAGAGGTGCTTAATGTCTCCACAATGAACATTGAAATTTCATCTAAGGTTCTAACTAGGAATTTTTGTACCTCAGTTCGCTTGTTCATTTACGAATTTGGTTAATGAGTTCAATTATATTTCAGCTGCTCCCAGCAGACCGACGGGTCCACTAAAGGTGAGTGACGTCACAGCCAAGGGTTGCAAGTTGAAATGGTCCAAACCTGAGGATGACGGCGGCAAACCCATAGCTGGATATGCCGTAGAAAAACTTGACACGTCGACCGGAAACTGGGTGCCTGTAGGGAAAACAGACATTCCAGAGATGGACATCACAGGACTGACTCCAGGAAAGGAATACCAGTTCCGTGTGAAAGCGATAAATCCCGAAGGAGAATCGGAGCCTTTAGTGACTGACAGAGCTACGCTTGCAAAGAACCCATACGGTATGGCTTCAATATGTTTTATGAACTCTGCTACAGTATCATAAACACGTTGATATCCAATTTGATACTTTTGATGGTTTTCCACTGATGGATTAACGTAATCTTGATGGTAACCATCAATAATAACAACATAAGTAACCATTACCCCAATGTAGGTATTCGGACGGATTTATGATGGTCCAACATAAGAATGGCAACTTGTTTTGATGGTTTGTTCATGTTGAACCGTCAGAAATTTCCATCATAGTTTCTTAGAAGTCAAATGTTGAAATGATCATGAACGACCATCATGAAAATGTAGGTATTAGGACTGAACTATGATGAACCAACATAAAAAAAACCAAATTGTTTTGATGGTATTTTCCTGCTGAACTAACAAAAATTTCCATCAAGCCATCAAGGTCCATGAGAATCAAACTTCTCTTAATGGTTAACAATCATAGTATTAAACTAGCATTTTTCATCATGGAATGTTGGAAGTTTGTTGGCATATCAAAAGTCCTGAACACATAATGGTAAGTATTGGATGATGATGACCATCAAATGATGTTGGACCATCATGAATAGCACTGAAACCATCAGAAGCCTAAAAAATCTTTTGATGCAACCATCAAAAATTTTGTCTTGGGTACTAATCCTCAATCATGTGTTATGTATAACACTTAATATGTTTGTTGTATGCAATTGACGTACAACTATACATTACATTAATGTATCTCATACGTGTTACAGTATCACGCTTGTTACATTAATGCGTTTCTTATATTTTGTGGAATGATATACGTTATATTAATGTATTCCATGTACGTTGCGGTACTATGCATGCAGATTCTTATTTTTACTTTCTTATTTTTTATAGTATGCCCATTTGATTAATGTTTAAAATTGTTGTCAAAAATACTCCCTTAAAAATAGGTTAATGTGTTTCAGGTATGCTACGGTATAATACTCATTAAATTATTGTGTTTAATACAGTTGTTTAATGCACTCTCGCATGTTTAGCTCTTATATTTGGCGAGTCTGTAATTTTTCAGCTACTTTTCGTTTTTTTTTTTACTATTTACTTATTCATTTCGCCCCCCCCAAGAAATCATATGAATTTTGACTAAAAAACCGGTTTTCAAACGAAGAATTTGACTAAACTTCTTCATCTTCATTCTGACAGTTCCCAAACATATTTTAATTTGATTTTAAAAGCTTTTGCACAAAGTCTTTGAAGAGGTTCTATTCTTAACTGAGAATGCACTCTTGAGTTAATCTATGTGCAGATGGACCCTCAAGCGGGTGTAGGTAAAAGATTCCTAAATTTGACAAAATATTTACTTGCACAATTATCACAAAATGGTTTTGTCATTATAGTAGAAAATTCCGTTAACTGTTTTTGCTTGGTACAATAAATGGACCAGAATGGCTCTTATCACTCTAATCAACGTAGGGAAAAGATTAATTTCAAATTCTTCCCTGAGTATCCCGAGTCAACTCGGGTACGTATTATATTGCAAATATTCGTCATCCCGAGAATACTCGGGCTTATCCTGAATGTGTCAGTACGTTTTGTTTTATCACGTTTTTACTCGTTCGGAAACAAAAAATGTGTGATTGAAAGTGTGCCAAGTTTTATTTAGGAGCTTTGCTGTGGGACTGCACACGTGTTATGTGCGATTGTACATACGAAGGTTGCTGAATTTACACAGCAATAAGAGTAAAAAAAATGATGTATTCCTTCACTGAAGTTTGAAAAGTATCACTTTATGTTGTCCCTTGTTTTAGAATTGTCATACAAAGACTAATACTCAACTTTTTTCATTTGCCCGAAATAACTCGGGATAGTAAACTGATTTTTAAATTAAATATTTCTTACAAATTCAAACCTCAGCTTAAAACGTGTGCATTATGTTTTGTTTCAGTTCCCTGTATTTATTAATAAAATAAAAAAAATATGTTGATTTTGTGCATTTGTTATTAAAAATAATAGATAAGGAAAGCGGTTTTAAATATCCATTTTCGTCAAAGCACAAGACACATATCGCATCGGTGTATTTCATGTTCTATTGCAGACGAACCAGGTGCACCCGGTACTCCAGACATTGTTGACTGGGACGAGAATCACGTGGATCTCAAGTGGACTCCACCCAAGAATGATGGGGGAGCTCCCATCACTGGTTATATCGTTGAAAAGAAGGAGCGTTACGGATCTGGTTGGGAGCCTTGCCTCACCACCAGCAGTCCCAAACCGGAGGCAAAGGTGGAGGGATTGCAGTATGGTAACAATTATCAGTTTAGAGTGAAGGCCGTCAACAAAGCCGGACCCGGTGAACCCAGTGAGCCCACTAAATCTCATACTTCTAAGCCTAGATACCGTAAGTACTTTCTTTCTCGATGTATTTTAAACAATACCTTTAAATGTGCATTAGGTGTGGTTGGAAGTTGTATGGTATAATTGATTAATTGAAGATTGTGATGAAAATGACAGTTGAAGAAGAAAACTGGATCATAATTACAATAAAACTTATATTTAGTAGTATTTGTAGAGCTCGAGATGCAAATTATAATTTTATCCATAAAACTTTCTAAGTTAAAAAAATTTTGCATAATAATATTAATAAGGACTGGCCATGGGAGAAAAATTCCCCATGACCAGCCTAATCAAAAGTCAAATTAAAAAGTGATTGAATTGTTTCCAACGGACAGTTAGGAGTATGGAAAGAGATCCAAGATTGGTAATTTATCGAAAGATAGCTTAGCCAAAAATAAAACCGAACCCCCATAATCAATATTAGGTTTGAAAATACTTTGGCAATCACCAACAAGGCTGTGAGAATTAGTATAACCATGTAACTGCTGAAACATATTTGTGTTAAGAAATAAAGAACAAAGAGTTGTAAATAGATTTTTGTTTTCGATTAGGCGCGGCAGTGAATGAATGAGACAACATTAGTATTGAAATAAAAAGTTGATGGATAAGAAAAGAATAAAATATTCTATGTTCGCTTTTTATAAAAATTTAACCAACTGATTTAACTGAAATATAATTCGATTAATAATGATTACAAAAATAAGTTTAAGAAATTAAATTAAATTTAAAAGATAAGAAATATGCAATGCTTATTGTGGCACTACATATATCTTCGCTGGACACAGAAAAAAGTTTAATATTTTCTTCCTACTAGATTCATGAATCTCCCCCATGTTACTAAAATGTTAAGCATATTTCAGCATGACAGTGTAGAGATATGATAAATCGTGTGAGTCAGTTTTCAAAAAATTAAAGCCTGCAACTCAAACAAGTTAACAAAAGTCATCAAATCCTATTACACTGATAGGATTTCAATCCACACTAAGGATTAAAACTCGTTCCTGGTATTTTAAATGCTATTGCAGTTTTTTTTAATGAATTGTGAGTTACAGAACCGTTTCCAAAATGACCTTGACCTATATTTTTTAACATGGGTCTACAATGAAAGGTATCTAATTAGTTATTATCGTATTGGGTCTAATCTTCATTATCTTTGTCAAATCATTCCATAAAACAGATTATTAATTGAAGTAAATGTTTTGCAGAACCAAGTTTCTGAAAAAATTAGAAAAAGCTTTGTTGTCTAATGAATGAGTAGCCCAACAATACTTTTTAAAAATATTAGAATATTGATAAATAGTGAGGTGAGTTTAAAATATAAATGTAAGATAAAAATTTCTAATAAACAATTTACGGTCTTTCAGAGCAGTGCCACAAATCATGCATTTGTTTACTTTTTTTCTAATGGTACCATTTGATAAAACAAATAAAAAACGAACAGTCGAACGTCGTAATTTATAAAAAAGAATTTGATTCAGAACTTAACTTTCAGCTTTCTGCACATCATGATGCATGCGAAAATTGTATTTAAAATATGCGTCCGTCCGCTTGGTAAGCAAACATACTAAATTACAGTTGAGCACTCACCAAACTTTTTATCATATACTTTAAATGTTATTTTTAAAAAAATGATTACTTTGAAAAAGTATTTATGTCCAATAATAGATCTTAACGGTATCATACGGGAAATATTCGGACGTCGGACAATTTTGTACATAGTTGAATGATTTCAACTGTTTTATTCCAAGAAACAACAACGATTGTGATGCAATCATCGGGGTTTGGGAGCGGCAGCCCCCTAGTTATATTAAAAATTATAATATAGTTTTAAATGAAACAATTTTTATCTTTTACAGTTGCTCCTAAAATTGTTCGTGACAATTTGCAACAAATTGTTGTTAAAGCTGGACAAAGTGTAAAATTGGATGTCGAAGTCATTGGTGAACCACCACCCACATGTACCTGGTCTTTTGGAGGAAAACCAGTAGAAATTGGTGACTCAATCAAAGTGGACAACGAAGAGTACATGACACACCTGAATATTAAAAATGGCGTCCGTAAACAGTCTGGAAAGTACAAATTAACAGCAGTAAACAGTTCGGGCAAGGACGAAGAAGATGTTGAAATCGTATTCTTAGGTAAGCTCTGCTTATAAGAGTATAAAATGTAGGCACACAATTCTTCTTAAATCAGTCAGCACACAAATATGAATATGGCGGGTACGGTTCAAATTTTGTTTTATGCACGAATAACACGAATCTTGACTTCAAGCAAACTATAATTTAGCATTATGTGGACAATCTCAAAAGCATTGTGTGGGCAATCTCAAAAGCATTGTGTGGGCAATCTCGAAAGCATTGTGTGGGCAATCTCAAAAGAATTGTGTGGGCAATCTCAAAAGCATTGTGTGTGGAATCTCAAAAGCATTGTGTGTGGAATCTCAAAAGCATTATGTGGGCAATTTCGAAAGCATTATGTGGGCAATCTCAAAAGCGTTATGTGGCAATCTCAAAATTTATGCCTCTTTTTTTTAGAGGTACAAAAACCCTTTTCCTATATCAATCGTAAATCAGTTTCAAAATTGTTAATGAATAAATACCAAATCAGTCGAGACAATTTTGGTAACGTTGTGAATATTTTTGTTTGCTACTGTTATAACTCTGTATTTGTGTCCTTAAGAAAGCATTAAGACTCAAATTTCATGTTCTCTTTGGGTGAAATTGATTAAAGGGAGAAGCTGATGCCACAATAACGCAGACTGTGGAAAAGGAGAAGAAAGCTAAAAGACAACCAGCTCTGACTGTTGCGTTATTTTAAATTACCCCATCGATATAATGAGAGCATAAAACTCAAACAAATAATACTCCGCACCGCCACCCTCTCTTTTTTGTAATAGTTTCAAGGAAGCATTCTAGTTTTATCACCAAGTGACTACACTTTGTTCCCCAATGAAACAGAACGTTTTGAGAAGGGAAAAGGTGCGATCCAGAAGCATTTAAAAGAAAGGAAATCATCTTTCTAAGTTTCAGTCCGCACACTTTCTAAATTCTAAATCCTCACACTCTGTTACGAAATCAACAATTATTTTCTAAGCAACATTTCCTGTTTCCAACTTGCCACGAAATCCTTACAATGTTTGCTTAGCAAGATAAAAATTGTAGCGTCACTTTTTCATAAAATATACTATAAATCTCACTAAAAGTAAACTTATCCCATGACACTAAACTAAACTCATTAGAGCGACAGCTCATCGAGGGCCAAGGTCTGCAGTTTTCTTGACCTTTGGACTCTTGGGTGCAATAGCAGTTATTCCGGTTGGGTCTTCAGCCGTACGTGGAATCCTCAGTGTTTAGTTCCCAAGCATGTTTGGTACTCATTCTATCGACCCACTGGAGGGATGAAAGGCTGAGTCAATCGAACCAAGGACCTGTGGCACGATAGCACGAAGCGCTACCATTCAGCCACCGAGCTTAATCCCATGAAACTATAGCTATATTTTATTATTTTCTCTGATTTTTATATTTATGTCTAAAAATGTCCTCCATTATTTCAGACAAGCCCTCCAGGCCAGAAGGGCCCATCGAAGTGTCAGATGTGCACGCGGAAGGATGTAAACTGAAATGGAACAAACCGAAGGACGACGGTGGCACTCCCATTACAGGATACGTCCTGGAAAGAATGGATCCCACTACAGGCAGGTGGATACCAGCTGGAAGAGCAGACAAAGATACGACAGAGGCACCCATTACGGGCCTGGACCCGGGAAAGAAATATCAGTTTAGGGTGAAGGCAGTGAATGACGAAGGAGAATCAGATCCTTTAGAGACAGAACGGGCGACATTGGCTAAAAATCCATATGGTAATTCCTTTTTGTTCTTTTGCTTGATTTTAAAGGGATTGATGATTTGTTGAAGGTTCTGATTCATAATTTATAGAATTTGAGTAGATTAAATTTAAAGTTCATACATCGACTATAGGATACAAGGATTATATATTTTTTTAAAGATTGTTGGTAGCCAAATGTACTTGAATCTTATTCCGTTCCATAAATACTAAAACACTTGTTACAGTTAGTTGTAACTAAGGTAGGTACTTTATTTACGTCGCACTAGAGCTGCACAATAAACTATAAGACTCCGGGATGGTCTGGGAAACATTCCTGAGGATGATCCGAAGACACGCCACCGCAATTTTGATCCTGTGCAGAGGGGATGGCTCCGATACTATGGTAGTCCGACGACCTGCGCTCGAAGTCGAGCACTTTACGGTAGAACAGTTTAATGAGGCACCTCACACCCTCGGTCCCTACGTAGGCTGATCAAAGTGCTCATTCACATGCTTACTGACCGGCAGCCAGTGATGTTTGACTTTGGTGTTGTCCTGGGAACCGTGTCTTTACGCTCAGTCCACAGCGGGATTTGAATTGTTGAAAGCTTTAATTTATATTTCAGAGAATTTGAGTAGTATAAATTTAAAGTTCATGCATCCGCTATAGGATACGAGGATTATAACTTGCAATTTTTTTTTTCTCAAGCTTCCGCTTGGCAAAATTTAAAAACTCCCTTGCACTCCTTTCAACTAGTCATGTCAAAGCTTGGTATTTGAATTCGGTATAAATGGAAATTTTTTAAGATTGTTGTTAACCAAAAATACGTTGAATCTTATCCCATTCCAAAAATACTAAAAAACTTGCAACAGTTGTAACTTAGTACCTCTAACCACTGATATCTGGATCATCCTCGAAAAAGTTATTTTGAATTAAAATTATAAATGATGCAAGGAAAAAAATAACAAGCAAACATTTTAGTGCAACTTTAAATATAAAAATTAAATTTCACGCGAAATGCGTAATAGTTTGCAGGTATGTTAATATTAAGGGGAGTTCATATTAACCTATTATTCTGATTCACTTTTTACGAAAGACTATTTATCTCATATTTCCAATTCGTATTTCAGATGAACCAGGTCCACCGGGTCTACCTGAGATCAAGGACTATGACACAGACTTCGTGGAACTTAAGTGGGAACCACCCATGAGGGATGGTGGAGCCCCCATTACAGGATACATTGTTGAAAAGAAAGATAAGTACAGTCCTGATTGGGTACCGGTGAAAGAAGTGGAAGGAAACATTCCAAAAGCTAAAGTAACGGGATTAAATGAGGGAGACAAATACGAATTCAGAGTGAGAGCTGTGAATAAGGCAGGACCTGGAGAACCCAGTCAATCGACTGCTCCACATCTATCCAAACCAAAGAACTGTAAGTTTCTATTGAAAAGTGCTCATTATGATTTAAATACGGATCTTATTCAAGGAGAGAATGAAAACACGTCATTGGAATTGCATGGAAAAACGTGCTATAACAAATCAAGCTGCATAGAAGAAACATCCTTTTTTCAGAAAACACATTTATTTGACAACCACAAATAAACGAAGCAAAATTAAATTAAAATACCCGTAACGGGTTAGTCTTAACCTTGCAAAATAAAGGGTAGGTAGATACTTTATTTAAGTCGGACTAGAGTTGCTCAATGGGCTATTGGCGACGGTCTGAGAAACATTCCTGAGGATGATCCGAAGACATATCGCAATTTTGATCCTCTGCAGAGGACATTTCTCCCCTCTGCTTTGGTAACCTGATGACTTTTAGCAGTTTTCATCTCGGTAGAAAACTCTAGCCGTAAATTACATTTTTTTTAAGTCTGTAACATATTTAAGGTGCTTTAAAAACCCATCCGTTAATTCTTTTTAGTATTGTATGTAGTTTTACTATTTTCATTCGAAGTTCTCCAAAAACGGATACAATGTGATACCTGCAAGTGACGTAGTGTGGGTATCTCGATAATGATTGATTGTTGAAACGGGCATTTGTTGACGTTAGCACTGTTCTTTCCACTCTATTTCGAGTAAGCTAAGCCAGTCATGTATCAATTCTCTTAAGTGACTGACTCAATTCTTTCACTTTATATCTACACAGAGACTTAACACAAAGACTGGCACGAAGCCATACGGAACATAAACAAACTAATTATGCATCCAAGTTGCCAGGAACAGTAAACAAAAGTATATAAAATATATAAACAAATAATAAATCTAAGTTAAGAAGAAGTAGACGAAAAGCAATTATATGTCAACTAATTTGATGGTCGATACTGCTCTGTATTTAACGAATCATTAATTAATATTTTATAACATATTGGGATAGAGCCTTCCAATGAAGCGACCCGGGTTCGATCCTAGCGATAACAGGTCGATTCAAATTCCGCACCCTTTTCGCAAAGACCACAGTGCTGACGTAAAATATCATCAGTGGCAGACGAATCATGATTTAGAGTCTGTGGAAGGTTCTCGTGATCTTCCTCTCCATGTAACGCAAATGTGGGTCAGTTCCATCTAAAAGTTCTCAACGAAGGAAAATTTCTCCCAATACTTGATCCAGGAGTCCCCTTGTCTTCTGGATTGAATTAATAATTACAAGACTATGAAGTTGAACATCAGTAGTCGTAAACTCAAAAATTGGGTCAACTGTTCAACGACGTTTATAAAATAAAATAAAATATAACAGATGGAAGTCATTAAATATCGTAGTTTCTGAACATTAAAGTGTAAAAATCATTCAGTTGTTGGTAATTAATGGTTCCAGGGAGGAACCTTCGAATGCAAAGGGTAAAGAAATAAATCTTTGCTTCAAGTTTTAGGCACTCAAAATATGACTTTTTTGATTTTTCTTAGGTGAAAAACACCTTTTAGAAAATAATAACTTTTGTTATTTCATTTTTGCAGTGAAACCCCGAATTGACAGAACGAATCTCAAAGATATCGTGGTCAAAGCTGGACAGATGGTTAACTTCGATGTGGACGTAATTGGTGAACCACCCCCGAAGATCCAGTGGCACTTCGGACAGAGACGCATCGAGGATGGAGATGTGCATAATATAACAAATGTGGACTATAACACTAAATTCTGTTTGCCAAAAGCAACGAGAAAGGATACCGGAAAGTACATCATAACCGCTACCAATCCTTCAGGAAGTGACGAAGCGGAAGTAGAAATAACAGTATTAGGTATAATCTCCATTATCTTTGTAGTTAACTGCAACTACAACTTTTTTACAATTGTAGTTAACTACAACTATTTTTGTTTAAATGTGGCGACTACAAACTACTTTCGAAATGTAGTCACCGATCTTTGCTCGAGAAATTAATTATCACCAATATTCAAATTGATTTTGAATAAAAAATTGACTTGGTTAATTATGAGCAGTTATTACGAATTCAGGTTTACTTGAAATAGTTTTTTTTTATTAAAATCTAAAGCACTTTTTACGAATTTGTTCTCTTAACTTTCAAACTCTGTGTTTTTCATGATAGTGATTTATGAAATATTAGGAATTTATCAAATATTTGTGATTTAAGTTTCATTTTGTCCGAAACTCACAATTTTCAGCGCAGATATGAAATATGAGAAATGCGGGCACTTTGCGAATTTTTTTAAATTTTTTGAACCGCGTGATACTTTTAAAACTGGTTTATTATTAAAATATGTGTGTCATATTGTCTGAAAATGCTCATATATAACTGGAAATAATCTAGGAATATATTTAATAAAGTTTAATTTTGTCCGAAACACACTATTTTCAGCGCAGATATGAAATATGAGAAATGCGGGCACTTTGCGAATTTTTTTTAATTTTTTGAACAGCGTGATACTTTTAAAACTGGTTTATTATTAAAATATGTGCGTCGTATTGTCTGAAAATGTCCATATATAAAGAAAAAGAAAGGTTTTTGTGGTTTTCGTACCCCATAGACGCAAACACTGTCCGATTCATTGAAAAAGTCTTTGAAAATTGTCCTGAAGTTTCCTTGTCTTTTTAATTATAATGTAATTAAAATATAATTTTCACTATGTGAGTAAACATTAGACGTGGCGCATCCACACGCTATGTATAAACAAGATAGAATTTAAACTAATATAATAAAATATAAATATAATATCATATAATGTAATAAATAAAATATAAGTTATGTTTACATGTGTAATAAAATATAAAGTACGTGGCTAAACATTAAATTATAAAATTATGATTTACAGACACCATAAAATTAAAAATATTGCAGAACGGCTGTTAAAATAACATATTTTATGAAGAGGTCAATTTTTACGATAAAATTATATGCTAATGACTCGCACCGATCACAGTGCTGACGCAAAAATATCCTCAATGGTAGATGTTAATGTTAGATGAATGGTAATGTTAGAAAATATATTTCCGTTTTTATGAAAATATATTTTGTGAAGGGTCTGTTTTTATGAAAATATACTTTGTGAAGGGTCCGTTAACGGACCCAAATTTCTTCTAAACATACCCCTGATATGAGGTGAACAGGGTTCTAATCCCAGCGATTGACGAGATGATGCCTAATTATCAACAAAAAAAGAAAAAATTTCCAGTTTTTTTCCGACAAATTTAGTTGCGCATTCCGCATCCGGCTTGCACCGACCACAGTGCTGACGTGAAATATCCTCACTGGTAGACGGATCATTGGTTAGAGCACCCTTGCCGTCAGGCTAACCACGGGATGTTTTCGTGGTTTTCTTCTCCATGTAACGCAAATGAGGGTTAGTTTCATCAAAAAAGTTCTCCACGAAGGCAAAATTTCTCCCAATCCTTGATCCAGGAGTTCCCTTTGTTTTCTGGATTGGGTTGAAAATGACAAGTCTACGGAGTTGAACATTAGTAGTCGTAAATCCAAAAAACTGGGTCGGCTGTTCAACCATGTGACGGGAACGATTTATACGAGAAAACCTAAACTGATTCGTGTCTTCATTTTTTCTGCAGGTAAGCCAATGAGGCCAAATGGTCCACTTGAAGTATCTGACGTTAAAAAAGAAGGTTGCACATTGAAGTGGAAGAAACCGGATGATGATGGGGGCACTCCCATTGAATATTACGAGATAGAGAAGATGGATACAGAGACAGGAATGTGGGTTCCTGCAGGCAGATCCACAGAACCCAAGTTCGACGTCAAGAATTTAGTTCCCGGAAAGAATTACAAGTTCAGAGTGAGGGCTGTCAACAAAGAAGGGGATTCAGATGAATTAACGGCAGATAAAGCTATCTGTGCAAAGAATCCTTTCGGTGAGTGTCAGTTTTATGTTACTATTAGGGGGGACCGGAGAGTAATGTCGTTTCGGTTCATTTGATAGATTTTATCAAGTTTTTATTTTTAATGAATAATGTATTTACCCCCGTTAGCAACAACCTTTCAATGCTGGATCAAAAATGGATCGAAAAAAAATGAATTGCTTTTTAAGAGACTAGCGAATATTTAATGCGTCGAAACGACATTATTTTCCGATCCCCCTACTATTAGAGTAGGAATTAGATGTCAATGGGTATGTTTGCGTTAACATTAATTGACTTATTAATGGGTGTGTTTACGTTAACATTCATTGATTTATTAATGGGTATGTTTACGTTAGCATTCATTGTTGAAGCCGTGGATGGCTCAGGAGATAAAGCGTTCACCTTCCATTGAGGTGAACCGGGTTCGAATCCCAGCTATAGAGTGGGTCGATGCGAATTCCGCATCCGGCTTGTACCACATGACGTAGAATATCCTCAGGTGTAAACGGATCATGGATTAAAATCCCCTTGCCATCAGGCTAACCGTTGAAGGTTTTCCTCTCAATGTAACGTAAATGCTGGTTAGTTCCATCAAAAAAGCCTTACACGAAGGCAAATTTCTCTCAATACTTGATTCAAGAGTTTCCTAGTCTTCTGGATTGGGTTCAAAATGATAAGGCTACTGTATTAGCAGTCGGAAACACAAAAAATGGATCGGCTTTTCAACGAAAGTAATAAAATAAAACATTCATGGATGTTAATATGCTAAATAAAATCTGTTAAATCGAAGAAGAAGCCAGAATCCAACTACTAAGAACATTTCTCAATTATTACTATAAGTAAATCACTTTCGGTAGGGGATAATTATGGCTGTATCGGTTCTATAAATGAAAAAATAGTCCCATGATTCCATTAAAAGGACATTTATACATTATTACAGTGAATAAAAATATTTTTCCAACAAGTCATTTCATTGCCAACAGCTGCAATAAATGAGGATATTCTGCCAACGTGTCTTTGAGTTGTAATTTAAATTGTAATAATGATTTAATCTTTTTTCTAAGATATTGTACTATTAGCGTAGTGATGTGCATTGAGTGGACACGTTACTGTGAACGACCGATATTGTTGGTTGTTGACAACCACTAATGAGTCGTTGACAATCACATATTCGCTTTGGTAAATGTCCGAAATATATGCTACGTCTAGTGAAGTGCCACTGCCCGGTATGCCCTACATTAATGTTTTTTTAACATTAGAAAGACTGAAACTTAGTATATACCTATATTTCCCAAGAACAGTCAAAAATGACTGGATTCTGAAAGAATAATTAGGGTGTAAAAAAAATTGGCTTAAAAATATTAATATTTTTTTATGTTATTTGCAGTTATGTAACAAGTTTTTAGCAAATATTAACAATAAAAAAATTATATGTTGCACAAAAAGTCATAAAATTCTAAGAAATTATGTCATTACATACATTGTTTTTCTAATTGAAATTAAAAAGCAGTCAAAATGACTTCCTTGGACAATCTAGTGTTAAGGTTCAGTGCCACTGACCATTATGCCCTGCACTGAAGTTTTTTTTAAAGTTAAGTGCCACTGTCCGTTATGCATTTAACCGGCACTCCAAACACTGATGTTTCTCCTAATCTATTCTTAGTAGATTATAAATTTTCGAATAAATATAATAATATCAAGAAATAAATTAATATCAAATCGGATATAACAAATATTTTGGACATTCACCAAAGCGACTATGTGATGGTTGACATTCACCAGTGAATGTCGACATTCTCCTGATTTCGGCTATTCACGGTAACAGATATATTACTTTGTTAGCTATCATTCAATCATTTAGAAATCACAATCAAATGTTTTCTATTCTTTGTTTATGTATTTAAGTTAATATGGTATTAACAAGCAATTAATAGCTATAGTTACAGGAATAGTGTGATTTTTATAGTTGCTAAGAAAGAAATTGAAGTTGACTAGAACAGGAAGCGAAAGTAGTTATCGATACAATAGCTGCCTGTTATATTGATAGTAATCGATTTTTTTTTCTTATTCATTTATCTTCTGGTTTCACATTAACCATAGTAATCTATACTTTTCAAACTAATTACATTTTTTTGCTCGCATTCTATTTATTTCATTGTAATCATTATTTTATAGAAATAAATAATAATATTTCTATTTTATATTCATAGAGTCTAATTGTAATCAATAATTATCAGATCTATTTGTTTCGTAAAGTTTTATTGTGATATATTTGTTTAACAGTAACCCTAGCAACCCTCATTGAATCAATAAGTGTTCAAATGGAATTGTCCACCCGATATTTCACTGATATTTTGCAACCTATATAAAATTGTCAGATTCACCCGATGTTTTATAATCATTATTCAGCCAATATTTGCCCTATATTGACCCTATATAGGCCTGTATTGATACCTCATAGGACCAACGTTGAAAAATTTAGACATCCCAATATGGGTCCCTCGGTGCATTGGATCCATACTGAGCCAATTTTGAGCTCAACTGGGGCCAAGGTATAATTGTTGCAAGGGGGTATCAATGGTTAATCTATTGATTTCTAAGTAAGCTATAGTATCTGTTTCATAGTATTGATCGGAATATTTCTTTCTGTGTAGATGAACCAGGCCAACCGGGTCGACCTGAACCTACTGACTGGGACAATGATCACGTGGATTTGAAATGGAAGGCACCTGAAAAAGACGGTGGAGCACCCATCACCGGTTACATCATCGAAAAGAAAAAGAAGGGCACTTACAAGTGGCACAAAGCGAAGGAGACGTCAGGTCCTGGCACTAGTGCAACAGTGCCAGAACTGGAGGAAAGAGAAGAATATGAATTCCGCGTCATAGCTGTCAATAAAGCTGGACCCGGTGAACCCAGTGAACCATCTAGATCAGTCATTGCTAAACCGAGATCACGTGAGTATCCTCCATGTTTACAATTAATAGGGAGATTTCCCTCTTTCACGTTATCTTCCGTCAGTCTAGCTAACGTAAAAGTGACGTCAGTCTAGCTCAGTGTATCCCAAATTGTGGTACACGTACCCTCAGGAGTATGGGAACAGTTTAGCGGGGGTACGCGTTTTTATCGGATAACTAACGAAAGTTTCCAAAAAATAATTATTTAAAAACAAAGCTAGCCATGAAAATTTACGATGACGTATTTTTCTATTGGCTATTTTTTGCAGAGTTAAAAGTTAATAATGAGTGATGTCAGCAGCCAGTTGTGATTTTTAACTTTTGGGCAATTTTTTTATAGTAAAGGTTTGTAATAAATTCTTCTTATTTTGATTATTTTTATAAAGAATCTAACATAGAATATGAATCGCTGGTTAGTATCTGGAAAACTTTGCACTAAAAAGGAAAAATAAACATATTTTTAAAAAAATGCATTCATTTTTTTTATTGGTGATACAGAGTCACGAAAAATTTAAAAAGGGAACACAAAAGACATACGTTTGGGAAACACTGGTTTAGCAAACGTTAGTCTAGCTAACGTTCGTCAGTCTAGTTCCGTCAGTTAGCTTCCATAAAGTAAACTGAGGCTCCTATAATATCAGAGCTGACCTATCAAGCAATATCGGAGCAAACAAGTTCGCAAGTTAACGTTATGTTAGTTTTAGTTATGTTATTACAGAGATGCCAACTGCTCCGGACACGCCAAAATAATTTAAAAAACGGTAAATAACTACAAAGTAAATTTTGCAAATAGTTGACAATATTTGCTTGCTTTTAAAAATGTAAAGCATGTAATAAGAACTATAAAGTGGTTAATTATATAAGCCTACGCATTGTTTAGAAGTAGTGGTGGATTAAAATCTACTAAATCGAACTTATTAAACCAAGAATTACAATTGGGTATAATATAGCCTACGTCACAGGTTGGGTTGTTCCTACTAAATTTAACCCATGAACGGCATTTTCTGCGAGCCTAACTTCAAGCCACAAATAAACAAACGAAGTGTTCGATCGTTTAAATAGCTGCTCGCCAGATTTTATTGCATTGTAAAGAAAAGTTATTGAAACTAAATACAACTAAATAAACAACAACAACTAAAACAAATAACAACAACTACTAATAACAATAACTAAATAAACAACAACTAAATTCCATTCGTTTAGCATTGCGTCATATGTTGTTCCTACTAAATCGAAGTAGTTGTGTTTTTTTCATATTATACCCAATTAATAAACTACCACTTGAAAATATTTATTCGCTGTGCTTATGTTAGCTCTTTTCTCCAACAATAAATGATAAGTCGACCTGTCTAATTCAAGGGCTCTAAAGTTAACCATTGAGGGAAGCAACTGCGCATGCTCGCATTACGTGATGTTAGCGTGATTTACACCTCAAAGACAAAGCTACAAGCACGCTATTTATAGCTGTTAAATGTTTTCAGTTTAAGCCTAACTTCGAACTAAAAAAATGGAAATGGAATGCGAATTTGACGAAACGTATTGATGGAATTTAGTAACGAATCATGCGATCTTACAATAATTGGTAATTCAATAAAATGATAATTTTATTGATTTTTGTTTAACATAATGGTTGCCTAATTGCACTATAGTTCCATAAGAAACTAGATATACTTTCGCTATTTTAAAATTATAAATTATATATTTATATTTTAACTATACAATTTGAGTAAATCAAGCTAAATAATCAATAGAATACAATAATAATTTTTAAATATTAATATTAATAATAAGCTTCAGTTTTTATCGCTGAATTCATCAAAATCTATAATCTACCAAATTTTTCTGTTCACGGAACCGCTCACAGAGAGAGTAAAGCATCTTTAAAGAGTTTACGTCCATTGTAAATGTTGGTTTTGATTTTGAGGTTAAAATGATATTCCTATGAGTTAGTATTTTTGACTTGTTTTTTTTTTTACGTTAGGACGCAAAATCTCTTTATTTTAACTTGCGTAAGTTTGATTTTTTTTTCTCAGGTGCATGCGCACTGGAAATGCGCAAGCGCAATTATAATCTTACGTATGGGAGCGTATGGACCCAGATAAAAGTAAACTGCAGAAAATTTATAGATAAAAAATGCAGCTTGGTGATTTATGTGGTGATTTAGACGATTCCGCTTCAAAATTTTTGAGGTCAAAACATTGCAAAATTAATGCAGGTTTGAAACAGAGGGACAACACACAAAGAAGCATCCATACTCTGAGCAGGATTCGAAACCGCAGCTATTGGCTTCCCAGTCAGGCACGCTAACCACTCGGCCACCTGGCCGGCTTTATGCATTTTGTAGAATGTGACTTAGTGAATAATTAGTGACTTACAGTAACATTTGCGTTTGTAAAAAAACAGACTAAAACCAATTAAGGAGACTTGCAAAATTATATACTATTAATTTTTATTTATTGAACCAATATTATGATTCATCGTATATGAGTCAGGTCAAATATGAGTAGCCATAATTTTTTTGTACCTCATTATTTAAAATGCAATATGGGTGTATTGTTTTTGTTTCCAGTTGCGCCTCGAATCGATCGTACGAATCTGAATAGTATCGTGATCAAAGCTGGAAACGTGGTGAAGCTGGAGGCGGACGTGAAGGGAGAACCTCCGCCGAAGATCACGTGGAGTTTCAAAGGGGAACCTCTGGTGACCGGTGAGAAGGTTAAAATCGACAATGAGGAATACCACACCCTCTTCATATTAAGCAAGACCAAGAGATCAGATACTGGGAAATATGTTGTGACAGCTGTTAATGATGCTGGAAAAGATGAAGTCGAAGTGGAAATAACAGTACTGGGTAAATATCATATTCTCTATCATATCTGTCAAATACACCGCGCCTAATTCTCCAGTGCAAAATAAACGTGTAATATTAAAAGTAAAATTGTAAAAAAATTTTTTACCAATCTTTAAATATTTATAAAAAGCAATTTCTTCTCATAAAAAGCTGGAAGGAAAAATTAGAATAATTTTTAATTAGAATAATCAGGGGTCTGTTTCGAACAAAGCTGGGTCCGTTAACGGACCCTTCACAAAATATCTTTTCATAAAAACGGACCCTTCACAAAATATTTTAACTTAAAAACGGACCCTTCACAAAATAATTTATCTTTTAATCGGACCCTTCACAAATTTGTTTATCTTCATTATTATTTTGTTAATCGAATAAACCCTTTCCAGGAAGGGGGGGGAGGAAGACAGATGTAAACGAACTAAATTTTGTCTTCGGCAGACGCTTCTTCCTTTATTCGTTCGAAATGAATATTCTGCATTCAGCAGTATAGGCTAAATACCAAATATGTATATGTTGCATTGCTAATTTAGTAGCTGCAATTGCTGTTTATTTTTTAAAAATTTTCTTTTTAATTATAATTTTACAGTGTTGAGCATAATCTTGTATATCTTAATATTTAAAAACTCTTTGAAAACGTTTTTTTGTAATAACGGACCCTATTTGCACACATTCACAAACACGGACCCTGGTTGAAAGAATGTGAATTAACGCTTATTTTATATTCACAAATGACGAGTCCTTTTTTCACAATTTTACAAAAACCGGACCCTTCACAAAATGTCTGGACAGACCCCTGATAATTCATCAAATGACATTGTTGATTTTTCTTGATGCAGGTGTTTCATGAGCCCTTGAATGTTCAAATATAACTCTTTTTGTTTCTTGTAATGAAATTCTTTGTTTGGTCAATAAAGAAATAGAATATAATTATGAATGTTTACATAAATCTATGAATAAAAAGGTCGAGAATCCATGTTTTAAATGGGGGACCTTCTTTTAGTTACAAGGAACCAGTACCACTTATCACTTATAAAAGTTTTATTTCTTGTGTAAGTCTATACGGCACTTCACGCCCAGTAAAAGGAATGTCAAAAAGTAAAAATCGAATTAAATCATTCAATAAAAAGACATGTCCTGAAGATAAAAAGTAATATTTTCGTACCTACAATTAAAAATTCTGAAATTGGAAATTCGTGAATAAAATTTCGTTGTTTATATTTATATTAATGTGCTGGCCCAAAATGTATTTCAACACTCAACCAATTGTATGCAATTAACTTTAATAAATTTTTTAATTATATTATTTGATATAAAAAAAAACTATATTCCTTTATCTCGAGTTCTATTTAGGAATTTTAAATTCGAAAAGGAATCAATTGATGGTGCAATTAGCTTTTGAAGTAAAAACTGATTTTAATTTATTTGTAAAATATTTATTTTCCAGGTAAACCGAGCAAACCGAAAGGCCCTCTCGAAGTTTCTGATGTTCATGCTGAGGGTTGCAAGTTGAAGTGGGATAAGCCAGAAGACGATGGTGGCCAACCTATCAAAGAATATGTTGTGGAAAAGATGGACACAGATACTGGTAGATGGATTCCAGTGACCACCACTAAAGATCCAGAAGCAGAAATATCGGGTTTGATTCCAGGGAAGGAATACAAATTCAGAGTGAAGGCTGTCAACCCAGAGGGAGAATCAGAACCGTTGGAGACATCGACTGGAACAGTAGCCAAAAATCCGTTCGGTAAGTTCCTTACAACACATACTTGACACAAAATTTAGTATATATTGAAATGGGCCTAAATGACTATTCTTTGTGCAATGCATAATCAAGCAAAACAAGGTGAATAAAGCACAAATAAAAGTACACAACCTATGGATGGGTGGAAATCCTACGGATGTTTTTACACCAGGGAGCGCTGCAAGTTCTTGGCAGCACATACTTCCGAGTTATTGTTTTCGGTGTGTATTTAAGCCATTTGGCAAACAACTGGATCATTGTGTCAAACTTACTCTTGTCTAAAAACCATACTTTTAAATCATTGCATTAATTTAACGTCAATTTTATTGAGTGTATGATAGTTTTTGATTAAATGAAAACATATACAGATGTTCGAAGTACAGTTGCACTATTCACTGTACTGATGCAAATGTAGCTTATTTAACCAGAGCTGCAAAACAAATTTTTTTAATATTTTTTTTTCTAATTTATTATCCTCTTTTTTTGTATATACTTTTAATGTCGGAAAAAAATTCAAATTCCCTGCATTGATTCAAATGTATTTTAAATATATTGAATTATAAAAATTTTATAATTCAAACTTATAACAATTTTTTTCGCATCTTACATGGGATCATTCAAATCAATAAATTATTTTAATGATAATAAAGAGGAATATCAATGAGTGTATTAAATGAAAATTTTGAGTTAAATCGATGAATAACGGATATATATATAACGGTCAAATAAACCAGTTTAAATGAATATGAAAAGCCAAATCAGTGAATCAATTGAATGAATATAATGAGTTAAATTAATGAATAAATTAAATTAGTAAAACTAGTCAAATCATCGAATTAGAGAGTATAACGAGCTAAGAGAATATAACGAGTCAAATCAATGAGCCAGTTAACTAAATATTTAAAGATAAATCAATATGCCATTTAAATTAATATGACGAGTCAAATCAATGAATCAACTCAATGAATTAAGTACATCAAGTTGATGAATATAACGAGCTAAAGCAAATTAATAGAATTACTTGTGTTTCAGATGAGCCCGGGAAACCTGGAAAACCCACAGCTGAAGACTGGGCCAAACATTACGTAGATCTGGTTTGGAAACCACCCGCAAGCGATGGTGGCGCCCCCATTACAAGTTACGTCATTGAAAAGAAGGACAAATTCAGCACGAAATGGCAAAAGGCCACAGAGACCATAGGAGATAAATGTGAGGCCCGAGTCTCGGACCTCATTGAAGGAATGGAATACAATTTCCGGGTCAGAGCCGTTAATAAGGCTGGACCAAGTGAGCCCAGTGACCCAAGTTCACCAGTCACGGCAAAACCCAGATTCTGTAAGTATCATTCGATTAATAAGAATTTATTTGATATTTTATAAATCTCTGAAAAAGAACCGTTGTGGCTGAGGACCCTTGTTCGATCCCAGTGATAGCTGGTTGATTCGAATTCCGCATCCGGCTCGCACCGACCACAGTGCTGACGTAAAATATCCTCAGTGGTAGATCATGGGTTAAAGTCCCCTTGCCATCAGACTAACCATTGAAGGTTTTCGTGGTTTTTCTCTCCATGTATCGTAAATGTGATTTAGTACCATCAAAAAGTCCTCCACGAAGGCAAATTTCTCCCAGTGCTTGATCCAGTAGTTCCCTTGTCTTCTGGATTGTGTTCAAGATGACAATTCTACGGAGTTGAGCCTTAATAGTGGCTAACCCAATAAACTGGGTCGGCTGTTCAATGATTGTTATAAATTATAATATTATATAAAATATAAAATAAAAAAAATCTCTGAAAAACCACTTCTTGGTTTGAAAAAGTGCAAAGTCTAAAAGTTTAATTTTAAAATGGTAAAATCGACTTATGTATTCTTCTTTTAAATTAAAAGCTACCAAGCTTACAAATATTTATTGAATTGATTTTAAATAATATTTTTTTTTACTAAGCGTATTTGCTGTATCAAATTTTTCGAACAGAATCTTATTGTTTATACTATTTGGGTTTTTTCTCTCATAATATTTTCAGTTAATTAAATCCACATATTATTTTCTAAAAATTATATAGAGTGGCAGTAGCTTTTTTTTGTTTTTTTGTAATGTGACAATTTCGGCATGTTTTTAAATGTTTCTTTTTCAGAATATAATTTTTTTTAAATAAAGAGAGAGAATAAATTGAATAATGACCTGTGAATTTCAAGTTATTTTTAAGCATGTTAACCTGTTAAGCCAGTTATTTCATGCACATAAGCAACTTAAATGGTTCAAGTAGAGTGCCGATTATCCGAACACCGATTTACCGGATTCTTCAATTATCCAGATTGTTCAAGAATAATGTATTTTTCCCAACCTTTTCTGAAAATATTTGTTTTTTCTCGAAAAAATATTTTTATTTTTAGAATATTCTTTAGGAGTAAAAAAATAGTTTCTTTGGTAACCTTGAAAAGAAACTCACGTTTGTTATATAGTTTCAATGTGGGGGACAACCGGCAAGTAAGGGACCTTATTTCTTCTTTTCTCAAGAAATTAAAAAAAAAAGATTAAAAAAAGTGGTGAAACACGTTTTGAAACGCTCCTCCTCAGTCTTAAAAACCATTTTGTCGCTCAATTTTGTAATAATTGTGTAACTGTTACAAAACTTAAACACGCTATTTTTCATACTTTATAACAGGCTCTACTACAATTGCCTGTCCTAATCTATCAAAAAAATTTGAGAAGTTAGTGAGTGAGAGTAGGTAAGAGAAGTTACTTAACATTCCCATAACCGTTTTTCAATTATCCGGCTTTTTCAGTTATCCGTATTGGCTTTTGTTCCGATCACTTCAGATAATGGGTGCTGTACTGTATATAAAACACGAACGTTGGTGTGATAAATTAAGAGAATTTGCAGACTTGCTCAATTTTAATGAAACTTGACATTGATACAAAACGAAACAAACAATAAACCCAGGGATCTGTTTAGAAGAAATTGGGGTCCGTTAACGGACCCTTCACAAAATTTCTTTTCATAAAAGCGGACCCTTCACAAAATATTTTATCTTAAAAAATGGACCCTTCACAAAATGATTTTTCTTTTAATCGGACCCTTCACACATTTGTTTATCTTCATTATTGTTTTGTTAATCGAATAAACCCTTTCCAGGGCAGAAAACAAGAAAGATGGATGTAAACGAATCAAATTTTGTCTTCGGAAGACGATTCTTCCATTATTCGTCCGAAATGAATATTCTGCGTTCAGCAGTATAGGCTGAAAACCAAATATTTGTATGTTGCATCTCTCATTTAGAAGCAGCAATTGTTGTTTATTTTTTAAAATTTAATTTTTTTTTAATTATGATTTTACAGTGTTGAGCATAATCTTGTATGTCTTTACAATTTAAAAACTCCTTGAAAAAGTTGTTTTTTTTTGCAATAACGGACCCTATTTGCACACATTCATAAAAGCGGACTCTGGTTGAAAGAATGTGAGTAATTTTTTCACAATTTCACTAAAAACGGACCTTTCACAAAATGTCTGGCCAACCAACAATTGAAATATACCCTCATGATCGTGCGTAGCACTCGTTGGAATCGGAAGACATGAAATTGCCAAAGGGCCAATTTGCCAGAGGAAATGACAAACTGCTTTATTTCAAGTATGAAATCACGCCGCAAGGCCCGTATATACGAAAGAGGGGACCCTATTTACCCATTTTTTTGTATGTCTTGCAACCGCTGTTGCATACCTTCCGACTCCAATAAGTGTCACGCAAGATCATGCGTGTGTATTACGATTGCTGAATGGTTATTTGTTTCGTATTGTATCAATGTATGTATAGGGGAGAGTGGGGTCAATTGTAACATTTTTTACTTAACTATTTTTAACTAACAAAAAATCCAATATATTATTAGTATTAATTGACAGACGAGTAAAGTAGACTATCCTCTACTAGAAAAAAAAANCTTCGCAAAAAACAGCAATGAATCAACTAGTGGCATCCATTCATCGAATTCTATCATAGCTATAATTCTGGTGGGGGAGTACTGTAGCGTATCTACCACTACAAAATTACAACTACAATTCACTAGTATATAAGACATGTTAACTCGACTCTATGTCGGGGTACCTTTTCATAGATGACGGTTGACATGGTCTGTAACTACTCTCCCCACACAACAATTGAAATATACCCTCATGATCGTGCGTAGCACTCGTTGGAATCGGAAGCCATGAAATTGCCAAAGGGCCAATTTGCCAGAGGAAATGATAAACTGCCTTATTTCAAGTATGAAATCACGCCGCAAGGCCCGTATATACGAAAGAGGGAACTATATTTACCCATTTTTTTGTATGTCTTGCAACCGCTGTTGCATACCTTCCGACTCCAACGAGAGTTACGTATGATCATGCGTGTGTATTACGATTGTTGAATGGTTATTTGTATTGTATCAATGTATGTATACATATCCAGTTCATTAAAATGTGTCCTGTAGTTCTAGAGATAATCAAGTCCGCAAATTCTCTTAATTTCTTACACTAGTATGTATTTAAATATGAATGCTCTAACGTATTCAGCTGATGTCGATTCTCTTTACAGTGGCTCCTCATATATCTGGCCTGAAAGACATGACCGTTAGAGTGGGACAGACGGTGCGCTTCGATGCCAAAATCACGGGTGAGCCACCCCCGAAGAAACTCTGGTTCTGCGGAACGGAACAGCTGAAGACAGCTGGAAGGACGACACTTGAGACTGAAGAATACAGAACTAAAGTGATCCTCAACACAGTGGAGAGGAAGGACAGTGGTGAATATCGTCTGTGTGTTGAAAATACATCTGGGAAAGATGAAGCTACCGTCACCCTGCTGGTCCTCGGTAGGTTATTTCACTTCTGTTCCTTATTAGATTTAGTTGCGGATGTTTAATTTCTAACTATACATAAATGTCTGATGATGGTGTCGCAGTTTTTCATTGCTGTCGGTGCATTTTTATTGGCCGGAAATGACCTTGAATTATTTTCAAAACCACTTTTAGTGAAAGCAGTAAAATCCCTTTTTGTTTGCATTTCAAGCTAAAAACTCAAACAAAATGAACGGATTTTATCAGTAGCAATGAAACTTAAGAACGCATGTGGAAATGCATGTTTAAAATTATTTTTATAATTATTTTTCATAATTTTATGCATAAAAAAAGCTTCTTTTTTTTTTTAGTTGAAAATGTATGTAGCGTGATAGCGTAACGCTGGATAATGTTTTACTCTTTCCTTGCTGTCCATGCAGATTTCTTTAATGTATAAGATTTATAAAATAAAGAGTAGATACTAGTTTAGAAGATAAATGTGCATCCATTACTATTTTAATTATGTCTAGTGTTTATGAATTTAAAACCGGTTTTGTGTTTAAGTATTTCAAAAGATGATTTTTCTATTCAACGAATTTTCCATATAACGAACCCATTATCGTTCCATATAACGAACCCATAATCCTTTGTGACTTCGTTAAATAGAGATCCGACTGTAGTCCCACATTAATATCATTGCAGTACCCCCTTGTTAAGTATAAAAGATTACATTCCGCAGTATTTAGCTTTAAATTACTTATATACGGATTACGTACATGCGTGATCTTGTGCTCTTGGTAATTTGATAACAAAGCTTATTCAAGTTATGACAAGTTAGCATATTTTTATTCTATTTGTCTCCAGAAAATTATCAGTTGATTTTGATTTCCACGATAAATTCAAATATGCGAAGAATTTCTGGGTGTAGAAGAAGATATAGGAGTATAGGAAGATTTCTATCAGCTACACATTTGGAAATTCAAAACCACTAAACTGTAGAAATTTCCATTTGTGCAAAATAAATAAAACAATAGGGCTGACATATCAAACTGATTTAGACTAAAATTTTGTTTCTTATTTCAAATATTGAAATTATTTTTCTTCATTTAACCTTCAAAATTCTTTAAAAGTGTCTTTCACAAAGCTGAAATGGTTTATTTTTGAATTACTTAATGATTTATTTTTATTTTGAATAGTGTATGCGTTGTCACACTATCTCATTTATTATTAACTCTTTCTTGATAAAAAAAAATACTTTTTTTAAAAATGAGGACCAATTTTTCAGACAAACCTGGCAAGCCTAAAGGACCGTTGGATATAATTGATGTTTCTGCAGAAGGGTGCAAGTTGAAATGGAAAGAACCAGAAGATGACGGTGGAGTACCCATTGAACACTATGCCGTGGAAAAGATGGACATGGGGACCGGACGCTGGGTACCCTGTGGCAGAACCAGCAAGCCGGAACTCGAACTCAACAATTTAATTCCAGGTATACTATACCTAACCTCTCGCCTTTTTTTAAAAGCAAAAAATATTAAACTTTTTCTACTAAAAAATTTTACGAATGACAGTAAATTATATTAACACGTTCATGCCGGGTCGATCCACCGGTGCGTCAAGCTAGATTGTCTCATCGGGCGGCGCACAGGAGTAAAAACTGGTAACAAATAAAGTTCATTTTTTAGTTTTTTTCCGGGAATAATAAAATCCATAACTACCAATTGTTTTTAACATATGCAATTTTTATATTGGATTGCTTCTTCGCCGTGATAAATTGCCTTACAGTGAACTGTTATTGTTGAGAATAGATTGACTCCTCCTGAATATTATCTAATATTGAAATAGTTCTTCGACTAGTATTCTCTCTTTTCCGTCCCGCTTTCAGGCGCAACACCCGGCGTGAACGTGTTAAGCTGATTATATTCATTTTACACTCAGTATAGATTCTACAGTTTTTGTAGATTCTACAATTCTTATGGGTCCTACAGTGGACTGATCACACAGACGCGGTTCACAGTGAAACATTACTGGCAGCGGTCAGTGAGAGGATGGGTAACTCACTTTTATCAGCCTGCGAAAAGATCGGCGGTGCCCGTAATCGGTCTTCGTTAAACTGTTCTACCGTAAATTGGCCCACGTCACGTCCAGGTTATCGGGTTAGCAAAGAGGGGGCGCCGTTCCTTCTCCGGAGGATCAAAATTGTAATGGCATGTCATCGGATCATAAAATATCAGATCATATAGTGCCACATCGTGGGCCTCCTAATTGGTCTAAAACAATTTCCTTTGGTATGATACTTTAGTATCTAGTAGTATAATACCTGGCCGAGTTTGAATATTATGGGTTAGTATTAAAGGGAGATTATGATAGGTAATATAGGGCCTTCATTTCANAACTCCTCCCGAATATTATCTAATATTGAAATAGTTCTTCTACCAGTATTTTCTCTTTTCCGTCCCGCTTTCAGGCGCAACACCCGGCGGTGACGTGTTAAGCTGATTATATTAATTTTACACTCAGTATAGATTCTACAGTTTTTGTAGATTCTACAATTCTTATTGATCCTACAGTGGACTGATCACACCGACGCGGTTCACAGTGAAACATTACTGTCAGCGGTCAGTGAGAGGATGGGTAACTCACTTTTATCAGCCCGCGAAAAGATGCCCGTCATCGGTCTTCGGCGGTGCCCGTCATCGGTCTTCGTTAAACTGTTCTACCGTAAAGTGGTCAACATCACGCTTATGTTGTCGGGTTACCAAAGAAGGGGAGCTGTTCCTTCTCCAGAGGATCAAAATTGTAATGGCATGTCATCGGATCATAAAATATCAGATCATATAGTGCCACATTGTGGGCCCCTAATTGGTCAAAAACAATTTCCTTTGGTATGGTACTATAGTATCTAGTAATACCTGGCCGAGTTTGAATATTATGGGTTAGTATTATGATAGGTAATATAGGGTCTTCATTTCAACGCTATTTAACAACAAACTGTTATCGTTGCTGAGTGGAAAGGATTAAAACAGGTCTTAGGCAGGGAAGGAGGGTACAAAATTTATTTACTAATTATTAGACAGAGCAGTTATGAAAGTGTGTGCAAAAACTTGTGCTTCTCGATTATATGTTAGGGAAATTCTTGCAAAGTAAATCCGTAATATGTTTCAATTTAGGGAAAGAGGGAAATCTTAGTAGTAATTACAATTGATTTTTATTTATTTATTGAAAAAGGAGGTATGCTTTTATTTTGATATTTAGTTTTATTTATTTACTTTTTTTTGTCGATTACAGGTCAAGAATATAAATTCAGAGTGTCAGCTGTGAATCCAGAGGGAGAATCAACACCACTGGAGGCTGAAAAATCAATTATTGCTAAAAATCCATACGGTATGCTCCCGATTATTTTCATTATTTTTTCCCCATTGATTTTAACACTGTTGTAATATTTTATAAAAAAACTATTAATAATAGAAATTAGGAAGAAAAAAATTGTAATGTAAAGTGGGTTTTGATTAAAAAGTAGAAATCCAAAATCATTTCAAGTTTTATTGACTGAATTTAAAAATAATGAGGTGTTTTTATATTTAAAATGAAATTTTCAGAACTATTTTTAAATGCATTGTATGAATTTATAATGTATTAAAAAGTTTTTGAATGTAAAAGTAGAATTAATAAACCGTTTTAAGTATTATGGAGTGCATTTAACTCGACCCACTTTTGCAGCATAAACATTTAAGTATGAAAAGCAGTTTATGTTAATGCTCATATATTAAAATAAGTATAATATGTGTTTAAAGTAAAATTTTCCCGTTTTCCCGGAAATCTCCTGGGACAAAGTGTCCCAATCGTTTTGAATAATGTAAAAATTCCAATATATTGCGTAGGAATAAATAATAAAAATAATATAAATGCATCGAATTATTCATTTTTACCAGAAGTTGTAGAAACCAGAAGTTGTAGAAACCAGAAGTAGCAGTTAGAAAATAATCAACAATTTTGTTTATGATATTTTATCACTAATGTGATTTATTGTCCCACTGATAAGTATGATTGGGATATACTGTCCCAATGGTAGGTACAATCGGGACAATATATCCCACAAAACAAAATCTGTTATTATTTCTTAAATCTGATACTAAATAGGTACAATTATTACCTAATAAGAACAAACATAACTATTTTACACAAAATATGTTCAAAATATAGTTGTAGTTTCATCTAAGTTCAGAAAGTAAATGAATTAAAACGAGATTGACTGGCGTGCTCGCAAGCAGAAGTCCGTCATTTTTAATGTGAGAGTGTTGCCAAGTTCCTTTAGTCATATTTTTTATTCTCTAATGACTAAAGAAGCATGAAAACATTAAAACCCATGCAAAATTGGGATCTGTTAATCGATTAGGGAATTAAGTTTTATCTTTGGGATGTTCCATTCGGGTCTAAAGGCTTAAGCGGGTTAAATTCCAATGCTTTTATTGTGCCAAACATAGTGGAATCTTATGGGATCCTAAATGAGAATTTTCTTACAGATCCTCCTGGAAAACCTGGAGTTCCTGAGCCAAGTGATTGGGATAAGGAGTGGGTGGACTTGAAGTGGACAAAACCTTTGAAAGATGGAGGCAGTCCTGTTACTGGCTATTTGATCGAAAAGAAAGAAAAGGATTCGAATAGTTGGACGAAAGCAGCACAAATTGATAAACCCATCTGCGAGGCGAGGGTTGAGAACTTGATACCTGGGGAGACCTATCAGTACAGAGTGAAAGCCATAAACGCCGCCGGTCCTGGTGAACCCAGTGATACCACCAAACCCCTCACTGCTAAACCAAGAAAAAGTAAACTATTTTCTTAATTATTTCACGCAAGGATACGCTTTTAGCTTCGAAACATTTACCCATGTCAAAAGTCTTGATGGTCCCCGTCAAAACATTTTGATGGTTTATGTTGGTTTCAGTGCGATTCATGATGGTCCAACATCATTGGATGTTCACCATCATCTAACATTTTCTATTACGTTCTCATGGTTTTTGATATGCTAACAAACTTCCTTCATTCCATGATGGAAAATGCTACTTTAATACTATGATGGTTAACCATCAAGAGAAGTTCGACTCTCATGGACCATGATGGTCCTTGATGGTTCCAACTATACATTTCCATGGTGGTTTAATGGGAATTCTTGTTCGTTCTCAGGAATATGCCACACCAAAACAATTTCTTTATTATGTTGGACCATCATAAATCAGTTCGAATTCCTACATTGGAATGATCTTTGTTCATGATCGATACAAGATTTGATTTCTAAGATACTATGATGAGAAAAATGGCCCATAATGGTACAACAATGCATTTCCATGATGGTTTAATAGTAATTAATGTTGATTCAGCAGGAATATACCATGAAAGAAATTTTTTTCTTTTATGTTGGCTCATTAAAAATCAATCTAAATTCCTACATTAGGGCGATGGTGGTTCAGGTTCATTCCAACATTTGAATTCTAAGAAATTGAGGTGGAAGTTTCTGATTATTCAACATGAACAAACCATCAAAACAAGTTGTTATTCTTATGTTGGGCCATCATTAAAGCAGTCCGAATTCCTGCATTTGGATGATGGTTACTTATGTTGGTTACTATCAAAAATATAATGGTTCATGATGGAATTATTGATGGTTACCATCAAGATTATGTTTTTCTATTAATGGAAAACCATCGAAAATTTTGACTTGGGTAAACGATTTAGTATTAAAACGGACTGAAGTTGAGAAAGCATTCAATTGCTTAATTACCTTAATGTTATTTTGACTTTTTAAATACTTTACTATGTCTCAGAAAAAAAAAATTCTCAATTAAAAATAAATTTGGCCCTCATTGATATCTACTCAGTTACTTAAACTAATTTTTTATGCTTTAAATGATTTATTTTTAATTTTTATTTAACTTAACAATAATAATCCAAATAGAATTTTAAGATATAAAATAACTTATACCATTATTAAAACAAAGGTTTAAGAAAAAAAATCCAAAATTTTTATAAAATTATATGAGAAATTCAAAATCGACATATTATACATATTTATATTTGTATTATACATAAACATGGTGGTTCATGTTCATTCCAACATTTGATTTCTAAGAAATTGTGGTGGAAGTTTCTGATGGTTCAACATGAACAAACCATCAAAACATATTTATATTTGTATTATACATAAACATGGTGGTTCATGTTCATTCCAACATTTGATTTCTAAGAAATTGTGGTGGAAGTTTCTGATGGTTCAACATGAACAAACCATCAAAACATATTTATATTTGTATTATACATAAACATGGTGGTTCATGTTCATTCCAACATTTGATTTCTAAGAAATTGTGGTGGAAGTTTCTGATGGTTCAACATGAACAAACCATCAAAACATATTTATATTTGTATTATACATAAACATGGTGGTTCATGTTCATTCCAACATTTGATTTCTAAGAAATTGTGGTGGAAGTTTCTGATGGTTCAACATGAACAAACCATCAAAACATATTTATATTTGTATTATACATAAACATGGTGGTTCATGTTCATTCCAACATTTGATTTCTAAGAAATTGTGGTGGAAGTTTCTGATGGTTCAACATGAACAAACCATCAAAACAAGTTGTTATTCTTATGTTGGACCATCATTAAAGCAGTCCGAATTCCTGCATTTGGATGATGGTTACTTATGTTGGTTACTATCAAAAATATAATGGTTCATGATGGAATTATTGATGGTTACCATCAAGATTATGTTTTTCTATTAATGGAAAACCATCGAAAATTTTGACTTGGGTAAACGATTTGGTATTAAAACGGACTGAAGTTGAGAAAGCATTCAATTGCTTAATTACCTTAATGTTATTTTGACTTTTTAAATACTTTACTATGTCTCAGAAAAAAAAAATTCTCAATTAAAAATAAATTTGGCCCTCATTGATATCTACTCAGTTACTTAAACTAATTTTTTACGCTTTAAATGATTTATTTTTAATTTTTATTTAACTTAACAATAATAATCCAAATAGAATTTTAAGATATAAAATAACTTATACCATTATTAAAACAAAGGTTTAAGAAAAAAAATCCAAAATTTTTATAAAATTATATGAGAAATTCAAAATCGACATATTATACATATTTATATTTGTATTATACATAAACAAATATAATTCTAAATGTATTCTTCCTACTCCAATAATTCTAATAAGGAAATTGATCAATTCATTTAGAAAAAAGTCCAACTCATATTTTTTTTCATTAAGACGAATAAACTTCATCAGCTTTTTAATAAATAATCTCTTTGATCAATTCTGAAAAGAAAAGGAAAGAGTGTAAACTCTTTTTTTAATCAAATCAGTTTCCTTATATAAATAAATTTCTGTGAAACAATCAGAATAATTTGGAATTTTCTTTACAAAAATTATTAAAATTTTCTTATGATTATTGACATTTAATATTATCTATTATAAGAATTATAAGAAAAGTATCGTCGGGTTTCTTTCCTTAAAAGTTCCGCAAAATATGCATTGTTTTTTCACGTGTAAAACTAAATAAATTCAATAAAATATAATATTTTAATTTTTTTCCAAATTTTTATTTTAAATATTTTTTTTTGCGAAGATAAAATACGCACCTCAACAATATTATTTGAAATAATAAATCATTACGATGGTTTTTATAAAAAAAAAATTCAAATTTGAGAAACTCGATTGAATTTGGTTCTGAACGAAAGTGCCTAATTTAAAGTATTGAAGTTTGTAAGGGTAAGGGTATAGCTGAGATCATGATAAAATATAAAGATTTCTTAGGTTAAGAAGGTTCACATTTCATTTCAAAAAATAAATTTCTTTAACTCGTAAATTTTTGAAAGAAAAAAATATTAAAAGTTTCAATGTAGGCAGACATTTAAAACTTATAGGTTCCAGGTATACAGAAGTTCGTCTTTAAGAAAATAGTAATGGTTACAAAAAGAGAAAAAAAAATTTTCAATCTTGATGATCTGTTTTATTCTAACACTTTTTACATTCTTATATATCTTCTCTGGTACTCTTATGTCAAACTTAATCCCATAAATCAGAAACTCTTATGTTGATGGAAAAATCATTATTAAAACCTTTTTCTTCAGTTAACCTTTGTAAATGTCAAACAAAACTAAAGATTAACTAATGCTCTCATTAAACTGGTATACAAAAGTATCATTGGAGTTTTAAATGTACTCATTGTAAGAAAAATAAGCAATTTAATAACCTCGAAATAAAATATATATACAGTGTTATTTTATTAGCTTTAAATAAAAGATGAGTCCATTTATCAGCTTTTTTTAGACAAAATGTTACGCATGCAATTACTTTTTGAAAACATTGCATTAAATACTGCTATTGTTTTCTTTAGTGCCACCAAGAATCGATCGTCGATCGCTGAAACCGATTACTGTGAGAGCCGGTCAACCCTTCTCACTGGACGTCAAAATAGCGGGTGAACCACCCCCGAGTGTGCAGTGGATGCAGGGAGACAAACCTGCCCCTGAACGGTACGACTTCCAAATCATCAATGTTCCCTACAACTCCAAGATAGAGTGCGAGAAGGCAGAAAGGAAAGACAGCGGGATTTACAAGATATTTGCAAGAAATCAACACGGACAAGATCAGGCTGATGTTGAAATCACTGTTTTGTGTGAGTAGGCAATCATTTCTCATTCGTTCCTCGTTTCAGAAGAAAAAATTGCAATAAACTGTTGACTCAAGAGTTTTTAGATTTACAAGGGATCCTTATTCATTTCCTACTATTAGAGTTCACACTCTCTTCCTATATCTTGCTCAAATTTTAAATCCGTTCATAAAACTCTTTTTATTCATGTGATCAAGTTTAAATACATTTTTTAAACTTGTGTGGATGGCATTTGATGGTAATACTGGTTTTTCTAAATATTAATTCATTCATTAAATAGGGATAAGCGAAAAGCAAAATGGAATTTTCTGGTGGCTTAAGGGTTAGTCATTGTTTTAAATTTTACTAGAAGCGATTCAGTTTTTCACATATTTTAAAGATAGCATCATTGATAATCTATCTATCTATATTATATAAAACGCTAATACGTACGTATGTATGTATGTATGTTCCTTTATCAAAGACACTCATTGTGATGGGAAACTTATTTCAGTATTTTCATTTACCTGGGTGAATTAAAAGATTTTCAGATACCATGATGATTTAGTTATTTCTGATTAGATCAAGAATTATAAGGAGCAAGTACTTTTTGCATAGTTGATAAAGCTATATATTTAGGCTTAACCATTAATAAAAAACTGACCTGGTCTGACCATGTAAATAACATTAAAAATAAAGTATATGCAGCAACCAACAAACTTCAAACACTTTTTCATAACCGACACCTTAGTTTAAAACTGAAAAAACTCCTGTATACCTCGATGATACGTCCTATTATGACGTACGCCTCAGCTGCCTGGTGTAACGCCTCCGAAAAAGACCTCAAAAAACTTATCGTACTCCAAAACAACATCTTGAGAAAACTCACGGGAGCCAGATGGTTTATCCGCAACAATGCCATTCATAGAGATCTTAATATTGACCGCTTTGACCATCATTTCAACAAATTAAATAGAAACTTCTTTATTAAAGCCGCCACCTGCAATACCGCAAATTTTAATGATATTTTCGACTGCATAAATCTCAAAGAGGATGCAAAAATTCGACCCATTGCACACTTCTACACTTCTGATATCATACTAACATTTAACAACACAAACACTCACTGACGGCCGGGTCTCTACTTAACAGAGCCACATTTACTTACACATATACACACATCCTCACAATCCTTTAACTCGCCCCCTTTT